GCGATCTTCGACACGGAAAACGGGCTTTTTAAGTACAGAATGCTTAAGACCCCCAACACGAAAAAGCCAAAATGTGAATCTTTACGGAAGTGGCTCTGCCATATGCCGTCGCGAGGCTGCCACGCAGAAGAATGCAGCAGCACACACAGCGGAACTAGACGCAAAGGTGCCTAACACGACACGCTTTTAGACATATGGAAGCAGGGGTGGGCAGAATAAGCCGCTTTTTAAGTGGAGCGCCTGCCCTTTGATGAGTGGCTGGACTTTTTGGAAAAGTGTTGTAAAAATAAATCACCCCAAACCTCCCCCTCGGTGTACGGGTCTGCGACGGGACGCCGTTCCTGCTCATCGGTTTCTCACAATTGGGCAGTGTTCGCAGCCATTGCATGGATTGTTCCGCAGAAAAAAAAACCGTGACAAGACATGTTTCCGAGCCCTGGCCATTGTGAAGCTTCTTTGCTGCCCAAAACTCCATTTGCGAATGTTTTGCCCCTAGGATCGCTCCCGAAAATTTTTTAGCATTCCTGCGTCGAGGGCTATCTGATCACACGATTGACTTCGCGATTAGGCCAAGGAAAAGCACGGTGCCTGAGCGTTTGTACCGTGCGTCCTGCATGCAGTCGCCGTGTCCTCCCCCATCCCACCAGCCTGCTCCTATTGTGCCTCCACCAACCAGCAGGACCGGGCTCAAACCGTTGTTGTATTTTTGTTTCGCTGTTTTTTGCTGTTGCTTGTTATGAGCCTAAGCCAGGATCAATTTTTGGAAAGTCGCTTTGTAGCCTGCTCAAGCCGGGGATCCATCGGGAGACCGTCCAAAATCTCGTGGATCTGGAAATGCATGCACGGCGCCAATTTCTCAATCTCCAGCACATTCTGATCCATGGCCTTGTCAAACCGTGCGAGGTCTCTGAGAAGAAGCTGAGCTTCCTGATCGCCTTTCTCGAGATCGCCCAATTTAGCGAGTTCTAGCTCGTCGTAGTCCTCACCGTCAAATCCAAGCCCGCCGTTGTCAACCTCAAAAACGCCGTTGTTGAGTTTTTCCCACCGTGCATTAATAGCGGCTTGGTCTTTGCTCACGCCCTCTGTTTCCTTATCTTTGTGGGCTTGTTTCTCGAGGTATTCTCGTATAATTCTCCTCTTTTCCATCGTGGCTTCCATGCGGTTGTTCACCTGATTTTCCAAAACTGCAGCATCCACCGGCTCTTGCGGCGCCATCTTGCCGAAATCCACCATCACCAGCTCGGGCGCAACGTTCTTGCGGCGAAGCGCAACTAGGAAACTCTCGATCCAGGTGATGAGCCCGTGGAAAATCTTCTTGTCGTCTTTCAAGTAGAGGTCGCGGAGGATCCGCCAGAACGACCGCTCGTGTTTGTTTAGAAGCGCCTTGAACCGGTTGAAGATCTCCACTGGCGACGTGAAGTAGATACCGCCCTCGTCAAGCTCCTTGAGCTCCGCCATGAGGTCGTCCATGAAGGTCTGGAAGTCTCGGAACGCCGTGTGGATCCCGCATTGCTTCATCACTGTCATGAGCGGGTTGTAGAAAACAACGAGGAATTTCTTGATGAGTTTCGTCAATTCGGGCTCTTTCCAGAGCTGCTTCATGAGCTCCTTGTCTCGAGAACGCACCTCTAGCTGCCAGAGCTGCTGGAGAGCCACAAACGCCGCTGCCTCGTCGGCCTGCTTGTGTTCATCCATCGACTGGTATTTTTCGTACGCTGCTTCGACTTTTTTGAAAGTTTCAATGTCCTTGGCGGTAAGCTTAGGCTCAAGCTTGCTGGTTTGGAAAATCGTCATCAAAAGGTGCTCGTCCTTGGCCAAACTCTCCTCCTTGATCTCGTCAGCCACCTCTACGTCGTGTGAGGAGACATAGCTGGTGATACGCTCAATGAAGGGCTGGAAAGCTGGATCGTTCAAAGGAGCCTCCTCAAGCAACTTGGCCCGCTCCTTCAGGTAGTCCTGGAGATCCTCGTCCAACAACATCACGAAAATCATCGAAAGCAAGTTGTTCACCTTCTTCTTTTCGCTGGATGCCCATGGAACACTTACTGTAGGCATGCTCACGAGAAGAACGTCCACCATGCGTGTCATCACCTTCACCGGGTTGGTGTACTTGAGAATGCCGTAGCACACGCTGTAGGGAAACATCTTGTGGAACTTGAGGCACTTTCTGAACCACTCACTGGAGTTATCTTGGGAAAGGAAAACCTGGTAGAGCGTGGCCGCAATTTCCAACTTGCACCACTCAAAGAAGGTCCTTAGAAGCGGCGATACCTCTTCAAGTGACTGTGTTTTGCTGAACTCTTCAAAGATCTGACTAAGCAGCTCGGGGTTCTCCAAAAGCTCGGCCTTGAACTGCTCAAATCTTTTGGAGAGCTCGTAGACGGATTTGGCTGTTTCCTCTTGGAACTCAATCTGGGTCATGAGACGGCGCTTTTCAAGCTCCATTCTCAGCGCATAGTCCTCCTCCTGTGAGGGCAGAAGTTCCTGGAAGTTGCGTTTAGGATCACTCAAGAAAGCACGGAGAACGTCACAGTGAGCGATTTCAGGTTTCGCCAAAAGCGTGGCAATGTACCCACGAAGAGCCAAACGCAACTTTTCTCTTTGGTACTTGAGATCGGCCTTTGTGGCCTTGGAAGCCAGCGACCTTGAACTATCCAGCAGAGAGCGTCTTTCTCCGTCATCGTCATCGGCATGGCCCCCGTCGTGCTTCAATTTCCGGGGCAATTTCGTAATATCGGTGGTCATCAAACCGGGATACTTCTTTTTGAGATCGGTCTCGAGTCTCTTGAAGTCCAGGTACAGTTTGCTGATGAAGTGGGATTTGTAGGTGTAGTTTCCAGCCGACCCGTCTCTGGTGGTCACCTGCAACACAAATAGGTAATGCAGCTTCCGTTTCTGCTCCACTGGTTTCCACAATTGCAGCCAGCCTCCCTTGGCTGCGTTTGCATCCACATTGATCAAATCCACAGCCACAATGTTCACGTTGATGTTGTTCGAGTAAACCATATGGTCGTAGTCTTTGAGCGATCTTGTGCCCTGGAAAGCATCAAAACTCTGGTGTGCCGCATTGGGATTCCTGCTGAGCTTATCGAGCTTGCCCTTATCTGAATCCTTGAGGTGGTCGCTGTCCAAGTACTGGAACTCCTTTTTGCTCACGATCATCGAGTTGTAGAATAGAATAAGCAACAGCAGAAGCCTTGTGTTGATCTGGTGGCGCTTGGTGATCAGCTCCTTTCGTTCAATGGAGTCCAGGATCCTCTTTTCGTTGAAGCTGTCCACAAACGGATGCACGGTGTCTCGCCAAAACTCAATCTGGTCCATTTCGGGATTACTAGCAATCAAGGGGAACGTCTTGACGTAGTTCAAGTAAAAATGCCTGAGAATGGGCATATCGATGTCTTTTGGAGGGTTGATCAGTCTGAAGGGAGGACCCAAAAGCAGCACCGAATTGGGCACCGAGAGCCAATGAAGCTCCTTTTTCACACAGCTCTCCAAGAGAGCTTTCCTTAGAAAGTGCTCCTGGGCCGGGCTGAAGGAGTCAATGAAGTCTAACGAAGTCATGGTGTTGTACTCTTCTCATGAGTGCAATTTCTGGGGTGCAGGCGCAACCGCAAGAGTGTTGATGTTTCGGGTCCGGGCGGCTTTTTCGTGGATTTGGCTGAGACGACTAGGGAAAAGCGTTTTTTTGTTTTTTGATCTTTCACACCTTTCCGCCCTGCTGTTCTGCCAAGACGGTCTTTGTTGCGTGGTGAACGGAGCTTGTGGTGTGTATGGGTGAAGAAGCAGGTGAAGGATACTCATTTTCAGAGGTTAAGAGAATGACTATTGGAATTGTTTTCCTTAAGTATGGAGAAACGTGAACGGTCGTTGGAAGCTTAAAGGCTAAGACAAGAGGGTGGTGTAAGTTGTAGACCGATAGAGAGGTTGGGGAAGGGTGGTGGGTAGGGATGGTGGACAATGAAAAATGGAAAGTTTGCGGTGTTGAATTAAGGTTTAGATTTTGGGAGGCTGCTTTGGTGGCTGCTTATGGTGGCTGATTTACTGTGTTGCTTATTTAGTGTTGCTGTTGGACTGGTGGAGTCGTTATGGCTGCGAAAAGTGGCTTAGGTGGGGGATACATGTGGTACGGTTGTGGACGGAGTTGGGGATTTGCAGGACTTGATCTGTGGATGGGGTACTTGAGGTTTTGCGGAGTTCGATGGTGCTTTAAGTGGAAGGGAAGATAGGGTGGCTGTAATGTGACAGTGATGTGACTAGACATGGTCGATAGGTGATTTTCCAGGTCTGTTGGAGAATTCTAAAAAGAGGGCCATTCCTTCAAAATATATAGGCAATTTTCAAGGAATTGTGCCGTGCTACGGTCTACAAAGGATGCGGCTGTTGTGTGTGGTATTCATAAAGCCCTAGTGGTGCAACAGTGCCATTCTCAGTGCATTCATTGATGCATGGACACAAGAATATCTGGGTATCTTTGAATCACACTTTTGTGCTCTTTTACGGTTATTATTCGTCTTTTCATTATCTATTTGTCTCTCTATAGACCAACCACAAGTGCAGCTTGGGACTCTATTATAGGCTTTCGATAGAATGTTCGAACTAGGGTTCCAATCTTCAAATCGAACCGTTATCCACCGATTTCCATGATTCACACTTCAATATTGCCAGCCTCCCCCATAGGAGCTACAATTTCAATTCCGGTCAAATTCCTATACCATCACCTCTAATGCCCATGTTTGTTCGGCTCTTCTTACCAGTATGGCGATTCGCAGCCATCCGTTTTTCACCTCCACCAACAGAACCGAAAAACTCAGCAATCGCCAATTCATCAACCTCACCATTAAACAATTTCCAGCTTAAAACACTCCATTAAAGAAATTAACCAAATTTCCCAACCTTACCCCCTAATCACCCACGTTTAACACCTGGCCCATCGCCAGGCGTCACGTGCGGGACCTCTAAAAAAATTAGAGCGACTCATCTCATCTCTTCTTCTCTACACCATGGGAACCCAAAAAAAGGAAAAACAAAGAAGAGTCCGGGAGGGCGACACCCGTGACGGGAACCTTCGTGTCAAGGGCGAGAACTTCTACAAAGATGCCAAAAAAGTCAGACATTTGCTGATGTACAAGACTGGTAGAGCCGTCAGAAACGCCAAGGGTGAAATCATCCAGGCTGCTGCCCTTCAATCCACCGATATCCCCAATGCCCGTGTGGATCCTAACCGTAAGTGGTTTGGAAACACCAGAGTCATTGCCCAGGACGCCTTGACTCATTTCAGAGAGGCCATGGGCGACAAGAAGCACGATACGTATTCTGTGCTTTTGAAGAGAAACAAGTTGCCCATGTCGCTTTTGGACGAGAAGGACCAGACGGACTCGCCCACGGCCAAGATCCTCGAGACCGAGTCGTACGAGCACGCTTTTGGTCCTAAGCAGCAGAGAAAGAAACCAAGATTACAGGCGGCTTCCTCTTTGGAGGAGTTGGCTCAGCTTTCTGAAAACGACACCAAGGCGTTCCAGGATAAGCAGGAGCTCAACGCCACTTTGGGTCTTATGGGTGGCTCTTTCTTGGATTCTGAGGACTACACTCAGACTGCCAAGGAGGCCATTTTCCACAAGGGCCAGTCCAAGCGTATCTGGAACGAACTTTACAAAGTCATCGACTCTTCCGATGTGGTGATCCACGTCCTTGATGCGAGAAACCCCTTGGGCACTCGTTGTGAGAGCGTGGAGAAGTACATTCGTGAGGAGTGCTCTCACAAACACTTGATCTATGTGTTGAACAAGTGTGATCTCGTGCCCACTTGGGTAGCGGTATGTATACTTACTTTTTCATCGTGGTTGCAAGCCAATTATTTTTTGTCCCAAAGACCTTTGTCAGGGTGAATGTGCCGACTTGTTCGACCACTCACACATTTGCCTGTTACGTCCTTGGAAGATCAATGCTACCCGCCCGCAGACCCTTGTTTCAAGGTACTGTGGCCGTTTTGGCCATGGTTTCGTCTGCACTGCTGATAGTTTTTATCGGCGCCATAGGGTAGATTTCGGAATCTTCTGAGTTGGACCTGCTTGGAGCTCTGGCTCCCACATAAGCTTGTCCGTAGTATAGAATCCGACACTCTTTCCTCTACCTTGCAACCATGCTTATTTCGTTGACTATTACTAACAATCCAGGCTGCTTGGGTCAAGCATTTGTCCAAGTCATATCCAACATTGGCGTTCCACGCCTCGATCAAGAACTCCTTTGGTAAGGGCTCTTTGATCCAGTTGTTGCGTCAGTTCTCTACTTTGCATTCGGACCGTAAGCAGGTTTCTGTCGGTTTCATCGGCTACCCTAACACCGGTAAGTCTTCCATTATCAACACCTTGCGCCAGAAGAAAGTGTGCCAGGTTGCACCTATTCCCGGCGAGACCAAGGTGTGGCAGTACATCACGTTGATGAAGAGAATCTTCTTGATTGACTGTCCCGGTATCGTGCCTCCTAGTAACAGAGACACCGAATCTGACATTTTGTTCAGAGGTGTGGTTAGAGTTGAGCATGTCACCAATCCTGAGCAGTATATTCCAGATATGCTTGAAAAGTGTGAAAGAAAGCATTTGGAAAGAACTTACGAGATCAAGGGCTGGAGCAACTACGAGGAGGACCCTTCGCTTCTAGAGAAGGCCAGTACGGAGTTCATCGAGCTCATTGCCAGAAAACAAGGTAGATTGTTGAAGGGTGGTGAGCCTGATGAAGGTGCTGTTGCTAAACAGGTTTTGAACGATTTCAACAGAGGAAAGATCCCATGGTTCGTTCAGCCTCCTAAGGACGAGGAGGTGAGAACTGGTGAGGACAAGAAGGCCGAGTTCAAGAGAAAGAGAGCTGAAAGAGAGATCGAGAAGGAGGCTCAAGAGTCTGCCAAGAGACTCAAGTTGGATGAAGAGGAAGATGATGAAGAGAAGGAGGAGGCCGAGGAGGCCGAGGAGGAGACCTCCCCAGAGAAAGAATAATTTATTGTACATTAGATCTATACGTGCATCATTTGGATGGGTTTTTACATAGACAATACGGTTCTATCGATTGGATATTCACCACTGTTTACCCGCCGTTGTGGCCTTGTCCTCCAGGGTCCCTGTAGCATCACCGAGACCAAATAGGTAGCCCTTGTATTTCTCGAATACGGAAAAGTCTCCGCCCAATTGTCTGAAGAGCTCTTTGAAGCACTCCATCAACAAGTACGCATGAAGTGTCGACGTCATTTGCTGATGCTGGTGGCCCGCAAACTGCCCTGCTGACGTTGAAGCAAAGTATTGGCGAATGAGGGGTGAGATGGGAAGAAGGTGCAATTCCTCAGCGAGGTACTCCACCGATGGCTTGTTGTTTCCTGTGAGGCCCTTCTTTATATCGCCAGCGGCACCAGCTGACGTGGAACTGCTCAAACCGCCAATCTCACTGTTTGTGTTGGAGTTTGCACCAGTCTTGCCGTTTCCGTTCAAGAGCTGATTGCCAATATGCTTCAAGTCGAAGAAGTTTGGGAAGTACTTGGTGCACCACCAGAAGAACTCCTTTTCATCGTGAGGCAAGATGTCGTTAGTGAGAAGAGAGACCAAGAAGCCCAAATCGTAGCCCGAGTGGTAACTCAACCAGTTGATAGATGGATCTAAAAGAAGCCCGCTCTCGATCATGAGTTCGGCGAATGCAAAATGTGAGATGCCCTGGCTCATGTGCATGGCAAAGTTGATCTGGGATGTCTGAGACAACATGAAGAGGTGCTCTTCGTTGAACATCTCCTGTGTGAGGTCGTATGCAAAGTTGAATTGCCATATGACCAGGTTACTGATCTTGTCGTCTTGCATCTTCACAGCACAGAGAGAGAGCTGGATGAGGTTTAAGATATCGGAGTTCGATCTCAAGCACTGGAAGTGGTAGTCTGCCGACAGCTTGAACGTACCCAAGGGCCTGGCCACGATACCGGGGATCTCTTGATGAATAGAAATGAACACTTTGGACGTCTTGTCATCAATGAAGGTACGGAGGTTATTGAACTCGTACTCCAAGTTGAAATTCCACACGTCCTTGATTATAGGCACCTGCTGTGGCTGCTGGCCTTGTGATAGTTGGGGTTGCATGTGTTGTTGGTTGTTGAACATTCTCTGTGGCTGTTGTTGTTGCTGTAACTGTTGCATCTGTAATTGTAAAAGTGGGTTCACTTTCTGGTTGTTGCCAGGTGTAGCCATGGAGGGATTCTGGCCGCCGTTCAAGGCAGCTAAAAGCGGATTCGTGGACGATCCTTGCAGCTGCTGTTGAAGATGCTGGTTAAGCAACTGCTGTCTTTGCTGTTGAATCTGGTGTTGTTGCTGCATCAGCATCTGTGGCAATTGTGGAGATTGTCCACTCTGTGAGCCCTGCTGCAGATACTGCTGCTGGAGGTGATGAAGGTGGGGATTTACGTTCATCAAAGTTGTATGGGTAGGTGTAGTCGCACCTTCAAAGAGCTGGAGTTGTAGATGTGTTGAGCCGCGCACGTCCCGAAGAGACAAGGGTTTACAAATTGGAGGACGGAGGTGCAGTTTTTACCTTTTGTATCGTTAGTAAGCTAGTTTTACCGCGTCACTTGTACATCTGGTGACTTTGTTGTTGTGGGGGAGGGTTGGTGTGGGTGAAACTCACTATAACTGCACCCTGTAGGAAGTAGGGGGGCCTTCACGGAAAGCACCATCTTGCTGCAAGAAGTTGTGGTCTCCAACCTTTCTGGGTTTGATCAAGTGCTGGAAGAAGAATGCAATGGCGCAAACCAAGGAGATCACAGCGACGATGATGTAGATAATACCAAGACTCAAGTTACGACCTCCAAGCACCGAGCTGGTTGTAAGGATGAGCGACTTAGAGCCTCCGAAGAGCGAGACCGGGTAGTTCAAGCCGATTCTCATTTCGTATGTGCCCGAGGAGAACGTCTCGGACGTGTTCTTGCCGTACAACTTCATGAACTCGGGCAAACCAGCTGTACGCATCCAGTTCTGGAAGTGCTCCCACTCGTGCAAGTCTGGCACGTTGGACTCGTTGTAGCCGTCAGGGAACCTCTTGGCCCAGTTTGGCGGAGGAACAATGTCGTTGTGGTCGTACTTGGTCTTCTTGTAGCGGTGGTCCTTGTCTGACTGCCATGTGATGCCCGTTTCGGACAAAACGTAGGTTTCGTTATCGGTACCACTTCTAGAGTTGAGCAACACCGGGCTCGAGAACGTGTCGTTGAACATGGAGTTGGCTATAAGGCCGCAAGGGTACACAGCCTTCTCGTTACCATCCACCGTTTTCAGCTTCAAAGGATCACACTTGCCGTTCAAGTCGCCTGCCAGCACGGCCTCGCCACGCAACTGTGCCGTGTCGTACGACTCCACGTACTTACGGTGGTTCTGGTAGAAGTTGGTGAGTTTGTAGAAAAGGTAGATGGGAGGGTCCAAATCCTTAGGCAAGTTGAATTGAACAACACATGTTTGCGTGTCGTCGCCCTGAGCGTCCGTACCCGTCTCCAACTTCCATTTAAAGTCAGGCCCGTCGCTTGTTCCCTGGAAGTGGTACCCCGTGTACTTACCTGGAATCGACGAGAAGGAGTTCAGTGCATCGTCACCACATTTGGAGTAGTTGATCTCGAGTTTCTGAACGTTGTAGGTGGTGTAGATAATGGCAATACCCAAGGGAGCAAAGATGATCGCTAGCAAGAACAAAAACGGAATCACTGTCTTCGGAGTGAGGATCGGCTGCCATGCCTTCAATCTCTGTTGTCGAAACGCCGTGTTCGGTGGTTTCCTCAGTTTGTGGACCTGCGATGTCTCGTTATCTTGAAGATCGTCATCGTCGTCCTCGCTGTTTTTCCTCCTTCGTAAGAAGTTCATTGTGTGGAGAAATGAGGGTCTGTGGAGGTTTGGTGATGTGTTAGAAGAGTGCGCGGTTTGTGGATAATTATGAATCCAGCAGAAAGGCGCGGTTTCGAGGTCGATAGGGAAGATGGAGGGGAGGTTGGGTATGGTAAAAAAATCAAAAAGTGGTCGAATTGAATGGAGTTTTGAGTATTGGGGGAAATCGAGAAGGGTGAATTTCGAGGGGTGGTTTCGTTCGGGGCTGTACGGTTCGGGTTGAATGACGGTGTCGGTATTGGTGTCCGAAGTATGGCTCATTATGAGTGATGGGGTTTCGATTGGGTGAGTTTTTAGCTTTTTGGTTCTTGATGTTTGGCAGGCGGCTCTTTTTAGGCTTTTTTGTGTGAGTGTAAAAAAATTATCAAATCAAGTGATGCAATTGTAGGGTTTTATTGCATTGGATTGGGCTTGTCTGAGGTTTGCAGCCATTTCTCAGGCACCAGGTGGTGATGATGAATGTCACCACAAAAACCAAGAAAAAAGTCAATATTTCAAAATTACTGAATAAGCTGAAGCTGAATTAGCTGAAGAATAAGTCAACAATTCATGAAAACCGGCAAGTTGGGCTCATATTTGAAATGAGCCATGCGAAGTCATCGATTGGAGTTGCACGAACTTGAGGATGAATGTCACTCCTTTAAAACCCATTCTCTTCAAGAATCCGAAATAAAGCTTGGAGCTATGATATATCGCTTCCTGGGGCAATTTCCCTGTTAGCATCAAATTCAAGATCTGAGCCACTACAAATTTGGCAATGATTGATATCGCCCGACACCAAGATACAAGAATTCAAGCATTGAAATTGTCCACAGAGCTACAGTCAACCCACAAAAGCTCAATCTGGAATTCAGAGGAAAAAGTGAAAATTATCCGAGAAGGTCGATATGCGATGCAGCGGGATCTGCCATGCCTTATCGAGATGCGTCTGGTCATATAACCATGCCACTTGAATGGCATAACAACAGCTGTGGGATCAAAGCAAAATTTCACTTATTTGCAGTTGCAACACACAATCTTCAATCGAAACTATAAAAACTCGAAAATTTGGCGTAAAGCAGCTTCAGACCACATGGCACACAACTAGGGCTTATGGCTTAGGGCTCAAACGGTCCACAAAATCCAGTCCAATCCACCAAAGCCCATCGAATCCAAAACCAAAGTCTCATATAAACACCCACTGAAGCCAATTGAACCACCCCCCTTGTTCCACCCCCCTGTTCCACCCAACCCTCCTAACCCACCACCTCCTCGGTCCAGCTGCGACTCACCTTTCCACCACCCAACTTCCCACCAACCAACACCAAAAATACAAAAACCAACCTCCCTTATAAAAAAGCCAAATCCACGCCCTCCCAACCCACACCCCCGAAAATCCACTACCCGCCCACCCAATCAGAGACAACCGTGGTGGCTGACTCAGATGACTCGGGAGTGCATGGGCCGTTATCGCTTGACAGCTTCAACCACATCGAAGCCGTACCACCAAGCTGGTTCATGGAGAAAAACAACCCCAGGGGCTCGATCCCCGCCATCACCGGCGACATTGACCACACTAAAGCGCTCCGGGTGTTTCCGGAACTGCTTCTCCCGTACAAGTCCACCATCTTGGCCTACCTGACGTCGTTTCTCTCCACAACGATAGGGTTCCCGTTTGACACGGTCAAGACGAGAATGCAGACCTACAAACGCTTTGGCACGTACCTGGACTGTGTGCTTTCGACCTTGAGGAACGAGGGAGTCAGGGGGTTTTACAGGGGCATCACGGCGCCGTTGATTCTGACTTCGTTCGTGAGATCCCTCAGTGTGACCATCTTCACCACCAGCAAACCATACTGCTACGAGGCGCTTTACGGATGGCGAAACGACAATTACGTGGGCCATCCGTTTGTCCGTAATTTCCCTGTTTGCTTTGCTGCCGGTGCTGCTGCCGGCTGTGGTGTATCCATCTTTGCTTGTCCGTTTGAGTTCACCAAGGTCTACTCACAAATTGCCACTTTGGCGCTGAAACAGGCCACAGAAACTGCCGTGGCTCGAGCTGCGTCGCCCCACGTGGGAACATACGAAACTTTCAAGACAATTGTCAAACACGAGGGCTTTATGGGGTTGTACTCCGGTTACAGGTACCATTTGGCTCGAGACGCCTTGGGCTCGGGTGTATACTTTGCCGTGTACGAGTCGATCAAATGGGCCACTAATGCTTTAATTAATTCCGATCCGCTGCAGTCGTCGCCCGTTTCTATCATGATCGCTGGAGGAATGTCTGGTGTGCTTTGTTGGGCTGCAGTGTTCCCATTCGACACCACCAAGTCGTTGATCCAGAAAGACATTGTCACTAATATCTTGCGCAAGCAGGGAGGCGCCGAGCCGTTGCCCACGAAATCACGGAAAATCGTGTTTGGCACCCGGATTTATAGAGGCTTGGGCATCTCCATGCTCCGTTCCTTCCTTGTAAATATGGTGTTTTTCACCACCTACGAGTTTGGCATGAAACATCTAGCATAGCCGTTATTTATTCTATTACATTCATTAGATCTATCGTTACTCCCTTCTTCTGCGTCTGCCTCTTCCTTCCTCTTCTCTTTCTTTTTCTTCGGCATCGACTTCTTGAACATGCTTCCTGACATTACGTCTTCTGCGCTTAGGCTGCTCCTCCTCCATATCCAGCGAGAGTTCCTGGATCGTCCGCTTGATTGGCGATTTGGATCTTGTTCTCAAAGCTGGATGGTCCAACAGGTCGAGTTGCCATTAACTTCCTGAAGCCGTTCTCAGTCTAGGCATAGGAGGGCTAAATTCAGCTGTAGGGGAAGATTGGGCAGCAGCACGAGTTTTTCTGGATCCACGTCTTTTAGCTGGCGAAAGATGCTGTTCGGGTTCAAAGCCAGGAGCGAGATGGTTAGGCGATTGCGGTGGAGACGAAGGCACAGGCTCTTCCTGGTGCTTCTGTTGTCTGGTAGAGCGTCTAGTTCTTGGTGCACGAGCTTTAGGCTCAGACTCTTCCTCCTTCTTAACCTTCTTGGCCAATTCTGGCTGCAAAGTACCTTTTTGTTCAGGTTCAGCCGGCTTTTCCGCAGGCTCTTCAGCCTTGGGCTCAATCTTCAAGGAAGGTTCAGGTTCAGGCTTGGGCAGCTGCTTGGCCTTTCTCTTGCGTCCACGAGTACGACGTTTTGGAGGTTCTGCAGCTGGAGCTTCAGGCTCTTGAGCTGGCACCTCAGGTTCCTTCTCAGCTGCTTCTTCTGCTGGTGGATCTACCTTCTTTTCAACAGCAGCTTCAGTTGGAGGAGCCTCCGGTTCAGTTGGAGGTACCTCAGTATCCTTTTCAGCCTCTTCTTCGTCATCATGTTTGGCTGCTGCTCTTCTTCTCACTCTCAGAGCAATGCTTGTGGGCTGCTCAGCTGGAGGCTGCTGGGTCTCAGATGCTTCAATGTCTTGATTGCTATCAGGTTTGGCATCAACTGGTTTCTGATTCACTGGCTCAGGCACCTTTTCATCCTCAACGGCCTGCTCTTCCTTTGGCACTTCCTCTTCTTTTTGTTCGGCAGGCTCAGCTCCAGGTTGAGCATTCTCTTCAGCAGCATCTTCATCTTTGGCAACGTCTTCATCAACATCAGCCTTTCTTCTCAGACCCCTGGTGACACGACTGGGTCCATCATTAGCGGCGTCGACTTCCTCCTGAGTTATCTTCTGCTTGCGAGGACGCCCAGGTTTGTCATGCTTTTTGGGCTTTTCTTTCTTGACCACACGCTCAGATGGCTTTTTGCGAGGACGACCGCGACCTCTTTTCTTGACTGGCGAGGCGACTGGCTCTTCGATGTTCTCTTCCTTCTCAAGTGGCAGCTCATCCATAGGCTCTTCAGTTGTCTCTTCCTTTGGCTCATGACTCTTCTCGATCTTTTCGTTGATCTTCTCCTCAAGAATCTTGAAAATCTCTGACACCGAAGATGGGTCTTTCTTGGGAGATCTAGGCTCTTCAATGTCTTCCACAGGAGCATCTTCTAACTTGGTTTCCACAACTTCAGGAGCAGGTACCTCTTCGTCATTGGCGGAGGCCAAGCGTTCCAAAGTCGGTCTAATGAGATTGAATTGAGGAAGAGCCGGAACTGAATCATCAAGCTCGCTCATAGACTCTAGACTGGCGGCGCTCCAAGGCCTAGAAGTTTTAGGTGGTGGAGGAATAGTAGCAGCTTCTTGCTCAGTGTCAGTGGGAGCCTCGAACTCATCGACATCAACATCTGGCTTTGACTCTGCTTCTTCTATCTCGATGTCGCCCAATCCTTGCTCAATATTCTCGGCGATTTCCTCTTCGTCATCAGCCAGAACTTCTGCCTCGGCAGCATTGGATTCAGCTTTCTCAATGAGGTCGTCAGCAACTTCATCATCAATTTGCTTCGCAATTTGCTCCGCGATATCGTCAGCGGCTTCTTCGTTTTCGTCGCCCTCGACGAGCTCTTCAGCAGCTTCTTCAAGCACATGCTTGGCAACTTCCTCAGAAGCTGCTAGAACTGCGTCATTAACAATCTCATCAGCTACCTCGTTTGCGACTTCATCCGAAACTCGATCGTCTGCTTCTTCTTTCTCGGTCTCTTTGTCAGCAACGTCATCGATAATGGCGTCGCCTAATTGATCAATGAAACCAGGAGCACTGTCAGTTGCTTCATGGGATTCATCTTCTCGAGGTTCACCGTCGCTGGAGACTTTAGTGACTTCGATGGTGGTAGGCTCAATAGCTTCAAGGCCAGCAGGCAACGAAACGCCATCATCAGGAAGATTGCTTTCAATTTCTAGAACAACGTTGTCTGTCGAACCTTGGTCTGCTGACTCAACAGTTCCTTCACTTTCGACGTCAGAACCAATTGAGGCATCATCCAGATAATCAGACGTTGTTTCATCGTAGGATGCATCTTCAGACATGCTGTCGTCTTCAACCTCATCAAGTTCGGGAACAGAAATATTGGATCCCGCAGAACTTGGACGAGAGTTGTTACTAGAAGAAAACCAATGCAATGGGTTGAGTTTTCCAGCAACAGACTTCAACTTCTTCGCAGGAGCAGCCAAGATGGAGGCTCCGCGTCTCTTCAAACCTCTATGTTCCTCGATCTCTTCAGCCAGAACAGTCGAGTCAACGGGTTCAGGAGTGTTTCTGCTGGACTCAAGCTCGTCAACCAACGTTGGTCTGATCACATCCGTTGTTTCTTCGAATACCTCAATGACACCAGAAACAGTGTCCTCAGGTTCGATAACTTCGGAAGGAGACTCGGCATCATCATCAAGATGGGCGAAAATTTCTGTGACAAGATCCTCTACAGCCTCGGAGATTTGCTCATCACTAGTAGCGTCCACTTCAGGTTCCTCGATGTAGGTTGGAGAAGCAGGCTGCACGCCCTCAATGACGGTACCGCTTTCGTAGACAACATACCTTGGTTCAGTTGCCTCGGGTTCAATAATCAATGGTCCTTCTTCAACGACATCCTCAGATTCGGCATCAGCAATCTCGTTTTCCAATTCCACACCAGCGAGTTCCTCAGCATTATCATTGGCTTTGATCTCCGGTTCGACTTCCTGTTCTTCTTCTTCCTCGTGCTCTGGACTTGTCGCATCTTCAGCATCACCTTGTTGAATGTCTGGTTGGTCACCAGATTCGGCATCCTCGTAGCCTTCTTCAATTCCATCCGAAGTCTCTCCATCGACTTCAATAGCATCGTCGGGATTCAAATCATCAGAAGCTTCCTCGTCGATTATCTGGGGGGCGTCAACATCAGCAGGATCAATACCAGGTTCAGGCTGGTCTTGTTGTTCACCTGGATTCCGTTGGCGTTGGACACTGGCTGAGGTATCGGAAGACAGCTCAGACAGATCACTTCTAGGCTTTTCGTTCTGAGCGTGGATTGGGAAGTAATTAGGCTCTTTGTCAGTCCCCTGAATACTATACCTCTTTTGCGGCGAGGTTTGAGATTGCTCTTCAAGCGGTTTCTGAGGGGCTTCACCTTTCCTATTCTTGGAGCTTGAGGCCTCGGCAGAAGCAGAAGCGTTTCCCTTGTTGGACTGGGCTTCAGCAGAGGCTTGAGCATGCAGATCATCACCGTTTGAGTAAGCACCGGAACTTGCCTTCGCCAGACTATTATCGCCCTCTGATTTGCTATCAGCTTCTGCATTTGCACTGGATCCTTGGTCATCCGATTTTGTGTTTGCTTTAGCACGAGCTTTGCCATCACCAGAATTAGCGTCAGCTTTGGCAGTCACTTCAGCTTTGCCTTTTCCAGACTTGGATTCAGCTTCAGCAGTGGCAGTTGCTTCTCCGTCCTTAGACTTGTTTGCATCTGCTTCCGCCGTTGCATGAGCTTCGTGATCCTTTCCATGAGAGCCTGCTTCAGCAGAGGCATTGGCATTTGCTCGATCGGTATCTTTGTCATCACCAGAGCTGTTACCATGGCCAGCATGGGCTGAAGCAGCTCCAAAAAGGTGCCTTCCTTCTTGATCATTATTGTTCGTTGTCGAGGTAGCTGTGCTTGCAGCACTGGCAATGGAATCCTGTGGTGGATGAACGATGATACTCGACAGGGAGGCCATGGATGGCTCCTTGTTATCTAACGATGAGACCTCCTTCAATGTAACGTTGTATCCACCAGGGACAGGACAAGGTGCCATTTCGTATTTCTCACCATCCTGGTCCACAGAAATGGGCACGATATGACGAGGATCTTTCTGTGCTTTCTTGATGACTTCAAAAGGTAACTCTTTGTTGTTAACCAGCTGGATGCTCACAGAAGAGGCTTGACGAGAAGCCTGGGTTGATGAATTTTCTGTTTCGATTGCGGAAACATATGACAAGGAATCGTCTGTGTCGTTATGTTGGTCGACATGCTGAAAGCTTCTGTCTCCACTATCGAGCTTGAGCAGATGAAAGCCAGGTCTTGTGCGATTGTTTTTCTCCTGGGATTCGTCATCAGATGGGGAATCAGCGCTTCTGACATCCAGTGTATGTACAGTAACTTTAGGAATCTTATCGTGCAGAAAATGCTGATCGTTGGCTTGCTCTTCCTCTTTGTCAACTTCCATGGGGTCTTCCTCAGGTTCATCATGGTCTTGAACGTTCTTAAGGTAGGCTTCAACGGCTTCATTGGCGAGACGCGAAGACACATTATCGATGGACTGACCGAGGTTGTGCAAATCGTAATCGTTTTTGGAGTCATCCTTCAGTTGCACCTCCTCTATAAACGACTGGAGTGCTTCTTCCATGTTGACTTCCACATTATCATCTGCTTTTTCTTCAGACTCTTCTGTGTCACTGTCTGGCTGGATGGAGAGCTCAAGGGGCTGGTATGCTGGAGCATCGACGAAGTTCTCGGATTCAGATTCACTATCTGAAGATGCAGAATGTGGTAAACCGAGCTCAGCTTCAAGGTCTTTGACGGCGTCAAGTTTGATGCCAAAACGCCTTTCCGTAGCCTTGAGTTGTTGAAGTGTAGTATTTGGAGAGTCTGGAGTGACGGTTCGGAAAACAGGAATGCTGGGCATTGGAGCAGGAACATCACTTTCTTGGGTTTCCTCGACCTTGTCTGTATCGGCATCAGCCATTGAGCCTTCGCTGGGATCTTCACTCTTTTTGTCAGCGGACAGGGTTCCCAAATCGAATTTTTCGGGAGCAGGGGTCTCGATTTGATTATGATCGAAAATGGGCATGGGTTCAGTGGACTGGGTACTAGGCTTAAAGGCACCGCCATCAGATTCAACGTCCGCAAGGTAGTCACTTAGCATACGGTCCAAGGGGTGTTTCAGGTCCAGCAAGACGTGTTCGGTCAATGCCTCTGATGCAATTCCAGCGAAATGGCTGTTGTCCAAGGAGTCATTAGCAGTTGCAAAGTATTTCGAAGAATCGACGGTATCGTCTTCAGCGGGCTCGTCGTCCGATTCAAAGCCAGTCTGCTGGTTCCCATCAGCTTCAGAAACGCCCTCTGACTCGTTGCCAGATTCAGCATCTGACTCGCCCTCAGAGTGTTCAGAACGAGACTCCTGCTCAGACTCCTGTTCGGAAACTTGAGCAGCATCGTCGGATCCCTCGACTTCACTGTAATGCTCTGGTTCATCTCCAAGATGGTTGGCTGGGTATTCGGAGTATTGAAGGCGACTAGCAGGCTGGAAGGTAGGCACCTCTGGTTCGGCTTCAGATTGTTTCTGTTCCTCGTCACTGGAGAGAACAATAATGCCATCGTCTTCGTCCCCAGGGCTGGCTTGGTCAATTTCCTGATCCTCGGCGGACTCCTCCTCAGATTCTTCTTCAGATTCCTCCTCGTCTGCTCGCTGCACTGGGAAGTCCGAAAGCCGAGGCCGACCGTCCCGAAGCTGGTATTTCGGCGTAGCAAACATATTAGTCTCTTCAGCAAGCTCGTCATCAAACTCGCCGTCGTGGTCGTCCATGTCCAAGTCGACCTCATCTTCGTAGTAGTCCTCTGCTTCATAGGGTTCTTCTGCACCGAGAGCCTGTTCGGCAAACTGGCTCAATTCGGGATGTAGAGCGTGGGGAACGCTGTGATGTACATTTTCGTGGATCGAGTGTTCGTCCTCTTCTTCTTCTTCTTCTTCTTCTTCTTCTTCCTCATCTTCCTCTTCTTCTTCACTTACCTCAGGTTGTTGCTCCTCTTCCTCAGTAAGCACCTCAACGATATCATCATCGTCCTCCTCTTCTAGGCCTTCTGACAATTCCTCACTTTCTTCATCGCCAGAACCAACTTGCTGTTCTTCTGGATACGGCGAATCTCCTCTAACTTCATCCTTCCCATCACCTTGTTGCTGTAGAATCTCACCTAGTTTATCGAACGGCGCCAGAAAAACCTCGTGGCGGTACCGCTCTTTCAAGTCCTCCTTTTTAACAGAAATGCGTAGTTGCAGGAGCTCCTGTTGCTGCTTTTCAAGCGTGTCGTCCACTCTGTTCTTCAACCCATCGATCCAAGACACAAGCAGGTCTGGATCTGGCTGGTTCGGGAGCCTGTCGGCGGACGATTCTAGATACAGGGTATTTGACAATTGCAGGTGTCTATGCCGGAGCGAGGTGTCGTCTGGGCCGGGGACGGGGGCCCTTCCGTTTTTCTTCATGGAGATGGAGTTGTGGAATTGATGGAGTAGCAACGAGTGAGACATATCGTGAAGGGTCATGTGACGCGGCACGTGATGCGCGTGATACCAAGCGTGATATCAACGTGATCCTCTATATGCAGGAAGACGTTGACGAAGAAAGCAACAACGATGGAGGTTGCCGGTTCCAGAACAAAGGAATTGATCAAAAAGTCGAATGTAAGCCCTTCTTGATAAATTGACGTTGGAACCCCCTCGTGGCGACTAGTTTTTGTGTCCCTACACGCATAGTCGACCACCACGCATATGCATACACCGTTGGCTGCGAAACCGTTATGGTCCCTGAACAGCTTCACCAAACGGGAAACCCAAAACCAAAAAAGCCCAGCCTTCGAGATTTTCCAAAATCCCCCTCTTGCGTGCCTCCCCGCACACTAGCCACCCAGCGAAGCAGCGCAACCCATTTAGCCGTGATTGCGTCTGGACCTAGCCAGTTTAGCAGTGCAATTGGAGCCGAAGACAGAGAATTGAGCTTGGATGAGCTTGGATGACCATGGATTTGAGTGCATTTTATCATCAAAGCGGCGGAAACCACTCTCCGACTGCTTTTCTGGAAAAATCCAACGGGCCCTATTTTTGGCAACCGGGTGGCTGAGGACCCGGAACACCGACGACTGGCAGAAAGTGACCTCTGCAAAAACTGCCTGTGGATCAGCTCATGCATTGCTACTCGTCAACGACCAAAAAAAAAAAATTGCTAAATTGCGTGCATCATCAGATACCCTGGGTTGCAGGCGGCGGAGGTAGAACGGACTTTTCTTGAATGAAGTGAAACACGATGCAGCGGTGCAGTGGTTGCAGCGGTGCAGCGGTGTGTTCTGGAATGAAGCAGGCTGAAACAGAAAAGCGCTGGGATTTGCCCACAATGGCGCCTTTCCGGGCGTAGCGGGACAAATTCCAGACTAGTCGATCTGGCGATCGATCAGGGAACCGAGAGTGACAATGGTGGAGGGGGCAATTTGGTCAATGGATGTATTGAATTTTTCAGAAGACGACAAGATGAAAAAAATGATTTGAGGCTTGAGGGATTTACACAACAGGGTGGAAGCCAAACGGACCGGATCAGGACCCGGCTGGGGCCAAGCCCAGGGATATTTTCAAGCGAGGCAAATCGACGTAAGGTGACTATCTCACATTCCTGGGCCTGGCGAAATTCAGCTGCCTGAGATTTTTTCGGGAGCGCCAGGAAGCATATTTTCAAGGACTCTCCGTTTTTGACAGGCGCTGAAAAAACGCAATCCCCGTGGCACTAGCCAGGCGGCATTGAGCCGTTTCCAAAGCCAATTGTCTATTGTTCTAGAAACAAGCCCACGAACGTGTCAAAAAGCTTTCTATACTTTAATCAAAAAAGCTTACCGTATCAAAAAAGCTTGCCGTGTCAAAAAAGGTTACCGTGAACGAACCTTACTTCCGTAGAGCTTCTCCTCAGGCAGCGCTCGTGGCCAGCCTGGTGTGCCGGCGCGGCGCTCGTAAATATCCATTTTCTGAGCCGACAGAAGTTCCCAACGCAGCCAACTCTATATCACAAAATCGCCAAATTACGCTGCTTTCACCGCCGTCGCCAAAACGCCAACTGCCTCTCCCGCCCAGGACCACCAACTGCCGGCGGCAAAATGACAAACTCGACCCACCTTTGGCGTAGCAGCTTACGGCTCCGCAGCCGCATCGACAAAGCACAGCGGCTAACACACAAACCTCAGCCCCAGCGAGAGGGTCCTTTTTTGCAGAAGCACAATGGCGGTGCCGAGGAAGCGTGCGCAGGAAGTGATTTGGAAAACAGCGGTGGTTTTGTGGGATTTGGGATTTGGAAAGTGCCAATTGGTCCAGGGCAGATTGCCAGCTTGCGGGACGTGGAGCGGTAGAATTGTAAATGACCGCCTTTCCGGTGTGGCTCGCAGCTTCCATGCGTAGGCGCGGGTGCAAAGAGGTAGCAGACACAGCGAGAGAGGCAGCGAGCAGGATACAATGAACAATGGACAGCCTCTTTGGACAGCCTTTTTGGACAACTTTTTTTGAACAGCCTCTTTGGACAACTTTCTGTTTTTTGCAAAGCCGGCCTGGGACAATCGGATTTTCACAAATGGGGGGTGGTTATGGGGGGTGGGCTCTGGAGGCCTGGGTTGCGGCTGGTTGTCGCTTTTCCTGCTGCGAATACGGCCCCAGGCCTGGCGCCTACCCAAATGCCGCGACGATCTGGAAGGGCTAAAGCGGTAGAGATCGCCGTGATCCAGATAATATCGGCAAGAAGCCCATCCGGTGCGTTTCTGCATTTTCTTCATTTGGCCCTTTTTCGGCTCTTTGACTTTGCCTCCCCATCCCCCGTGTCTAGTCTACTTTGTGGCCAGCCCTGGAAGCCTAAAGCCTATGCAGCGGGGGCTAACTGGGTGCGCCATTTTGCAGCAATTCGGATGCGGGCCCTGGGCTCCGCTGCAGAGGCAATTCCTGGTTTTGGCTGGGCTCTTTATTTTTTCATCTTTCTTTTTCAAATTCCCCTGGCCCGTTGTGGCCAGCGGGGCTTCACCGCCACGTTGCAGGCCATTGTGGGCCAGATGGGGTCTCTCTCTGGCGTGTGACATGCAGCAGCGGCATTGTATGCGATGGTGCTGTGTTCGCTGCAGCCTTCAGCACATGGAGATAAACCACAGAGCCCTGGGGCCGAGCAATCGAGGAGCCGCCGGTGCTACAGCTTTTTGGTCTCTGTTTTTGGTCTCTGGTTTTTGAAATTTGTGACTTGGGGTTTGTAGTTTTGATCGACCTCATTGTGGGTGGCTGCAAAATACTCACCCTCAGCCGTACAACCACCCTCCCACCCACCAGACCCTGGCAATCCATGAAACCCAACTTGCAGGTGCGTCACGCAGCCGTATTCACCGCCTGGCTCGTTTCCTGGCGCCGCCTATAAATGGACATGGTCCCCTCGCCATCAATCCCCATCAATCCCCCCCAATGTCTACCTCTAGCGACCTCGAGGCCATGAAGGCCGAAACCATTGTCGAGACGGGCTCCGAAAACATCCCTGATGTCCAGCACCCTACTCTTGCGGCCAAGCCCGCCGGTAACTCGCTCATCAAGCACGTTGTCGCTTTTTTGGGTGAATTTTTCGGCACCTTCATCTTCTTGTGGACGGCCTTTGTCATTGCTCAGATTGCCAACCAGCTGCCTGACATTCCTGCTGCCGGACAGGGCTCGTCGCCAGGCCAATTGCTTATGATTTCGTTTGGCTTTGGGTTCGGCGTGATGGTGGGTGTGTTCATTTTCTTCAGAGTGTCGGGTGGTAACTTGAACCCTGCGGTGACATTGACTTTGGTTTTGGCCAAAGCCGTTCCTCCAGTGAGAGGTGTAGTCATGGTTGTGGCCCAGATGATTGCCGGAATGGCTGCTGCCGGTGCTGCTTCGGCCATGACGCCAGGCGAGATTGCTTTCACTAATGGCCTTGGAGGTGGTGCTTCCAGAGCCAGAGGTGTGTTTATCGAAGCTTTTGCTACGGCGCTCTTGTGCTTGACGGTGTTGTTTTTGGCTGTCGAGAAGGCCAAGGCGACGTTCATGGCGCCTTTTGTCATTGGCATTGCTCTTTTCTTGGGCCACTTGATTGCCGTGTACTACACTGGTGCCGGTTTGAACCCAGCCCGTTCTTTCGGCCCATGCATTGCTGCCAGCTCGTTCCCAGACTACCACTGGATCTACTGGGTGGGTCCGCTTTTGGGCTCGGTGATTGCGTTTGGCATCTGGAAAACCTTCAAGATTTTGGAGTACGAGTTGGTGAACCCTGGCCAGGACTCGGACAAGTAGGCTTCTTTTACATAGTTACGCCCGGGGGGCCGTTTCGCCCAGTGGGCCTTTTAATTCACGTCTTTTTCTCGGAAAGGGTAGCCTAAATTAAAAATAAGAAGATTTGATCAAAGTTTATGGGTAGGCAAAAAAAAAAAAAAAATAGAAGGTTTGATTAAAGTTAATGCGTCAGAGTGCAATGTACCAGTAAATTTTCAGTGAGCTGTGAGCTACTTTCCAAAAATGCTAATCCAGTAATTAGGTCTTTCCAAAACTCCATGTCTAGAACATCGTCCATATGGAGAAACGCATTTGCTCAGCGATCCACCGCTCCACCGCCATCAACCTTTTCGTCCTCGCCGATCTACAGAAACGCCATGCGGCAACCTTCGTTTATTTATAGAACGCCAAAGACAACGTAGAGCCACATGACACGGTTAAGCCGCCCGACATTGCCCAACTCACGCTGCTGCACTTGGCGAAGCGTCTTGAGCTCGCTCTCGAGAAGAAGCTCTTCCTCGTGGCCCTTGACGTCTTCTCTGTCACACTTGTCAAGCAAAATTTTGTTATCCAGCTTGAACCGAGCCACATTGGTCAAAACCTGCGCCATGTCATAAACCAAAGCGTCGCTGATCGAGCGGTAAGCCAGAACAGGCTTGTGACGGAACAAGTAGAAGGTCTTCAGTGCGGCACGGTCGGCAGAACGAGGCACCTCCTGGATTTCCAAAAGGTTCATGTTGGTGAGCTTGTAGAGCTCGTTCTTGACTGTCTTTTCCTTGAGCAACACCGAGTTGGAGATGGCCTTTTCGTCCACCAACTTCATCTGAATAATACATCGGAGAACCCTCAATGCATTGGTGCCCAAGGTCGTTTTCACAAGCGTGCTGAGGTGATGCTGTTTGACAAGCTTGTGAAGCTGCATGTATGGAATGGTATAGGAGCCCGGGGAAACTTCCATGAGGAAGGGGGTTCCCGAGGATGTTAGTAGTCTGACGTGCTCGGAAATAAGCGAGAGTGATTTGGCAGTTGAGTTATCAGCAACATAGTCTCCGTCGTCTTCTTCCTCATCCTCAACCTCCACTGTCTGTGCGGTACCGTCCTCGAGCTTGATCTTTTTGGTTCTTTCTGCGGACCCGTTCATGTGGACTCTCTTGGGTGGTTTGAGAAAGTTCTGGGTCAAAATGGAGTTTCTCAAATCGACATTCTCCGACAACGCTCGAGGCACGTCACGGAGATTGAAAACAGTCCTCTTGGAGTCAATGAGCCCATTCTCTATGCTACTAATGTACAGCCTCTCCTCCTCCGGGTCGTTGATCAACCCAGAAATCTGGAGAAACGTTTGATGCAAATCTGGCGAGTTCTGCTCCACCAACGAGCAGCACGCCTCGTAGACCTTGCTTGTAAGAAGGCCAAATCGCAGATTGGCCAAGTCAACCAAGGCTCTTGTGCGCAAGTACTTTTCGTACCTGGCAAGGTTGAAGGTGATGGTCACCAGGGGATTAAATTTTTGCATTCCAGCCTCGACAGTGAAAACATCCTTGGGGTCGGTGCCTCTTGAAAGGTAGTCGTTCAACTTGACTTTGGTTTTCGCCTTGGCTTCAGCGACCCTTTTGATTTCACTGGTTGTGGCCGTCCTAGGCGTGTTTTTGAGAGTCTCCTGGAAGAGCATGTTCCACACGTCTTCTAGCGGGTAGTAGTTGTAAGGCTGTAGTCTATGCAACCAGCCGTCGTTGTAGAGCTTTAGAAGCCTGTCCGATGTCTCGTACTTGGCTTCCTCAGAAAACGTGGACAAATACTCCTTCACATTGAGACTGCCGTTTTCAAGCACATTTTGAATGATCTGTGCCGATTCGTCTCCGTAGGCCACCCTGATACGAGTCACAATGTCTCCTGCGAACAACAATCTCTGGACTCCTCTGTCATCGAATGTGTAGTACACCTCCTTTCCTTCAGTCCAGAAAAACACACAATTAAGCTGGACAAGCGAAACAACGGCCGTCTTCACCTGCTTCACTGAAAGATTTGTACGTGAAGCGATCTGTTTGGTGGTTGATCTGCCAAATGAGATCAAGGACGAAATCACAATAGCCGAGGTTTCACCCAAATGGGAAGAGGCCAAGGTCGTGTAGAGATACGACTCTGGACTTTGGGTTCTGGCTGCCTCCAGGAGCGATGCAGGAGCCATGGGTCTGTGTGATGTGTTGATTTCGTGGATGCCTGGAGATGGTAATGTATGTAGCAGAAATTCTTTGATGCCAGAGATGAGTCGGTCACGTGCGCGGTTTTGGAAGTCCAACGAGCTGGTATTTATGGGAGTCTACATTAAATTTTTATAATTTTTGAAAGTAAAGGATAGAAAAGAGATATCATGTTGTGTTTCGATTGGCTTGAAGAGCTGTGTGTGGATATACTGGTGTATTGCTTACGGTGTGCTGTGCACGTGACCAGGATCTGAAATTTTTCAAAATCTTCACAAATATCGATGGAATAAGGATTTTATGTAGTTTGAGCTCTTTCTTCGTTAATGGCATGTGTGTTTATACTAATGGTGCTCTCAGTGTGGATTTTGGTCGGGAACGCTGATTCAGTAAGTCAATGCGCCGAAAGCCAAATAACCTTTAGAATAAAACCATAACCAAAATTCCCAAAGAAGATAGCCTCTTATGGCTTGTGATTTTCTTTGCTTCGCCATTACAATCGAGCTTCCATACCGCAAGACGCAGGGATGTTTGCGATCATGACTTCCATGATGCACCGAAGATCACATCCCCATGGGGTGGTATTGTCTCTCTAAAGTAGTCATAGAAATCATCTTTTGGGAAATTTCTGGCTGCATTGTTGTTCGTCACCTAGTCTTTGCTCTGAATATGCTGAAGGTGAGATTGAGGTATACCCAGGGATTTGGCTTGACCTATCATAAATGGCCATTTACCGTCCTCTAATAGAAACATAATGCTTTAGAAGCTTCAATCTAAAAGGCTCGCTCTAGATTGCCAATTCATTCATATAGCTTCACTTACGGAGATTCTAATAGCTTCACTTCTGTTACATTCGCAGCCATTATAACTGTACATGCAATGGGCAATCCTCACATCCAATGACCGTCATTTCTTGACACATATATTATTCCTTTCGTCAGATACAGAATAAGTGACCAAATTAAAATAAAATTGAGTTTCTTTCATGGGCCGTTTATATGGCTTGAACCAGTGAGTACCCCTACTGCGAAGCACCAGTTAGTGGAAAATCTCCACCCAGCTTGATAAGAAGAACCAACCATATTTAAAAATCACCAATTTCATCAATTCCTTTGAGATCTCAAACTTCCAGCCACTATCAACCCCCAGGAATTGGACTTTTTAAAGATGCACACGTGACCTCCATACTATTGCCGATTTCCTCCAGAACCGCTACTATCCAGAACCACCATGTCTGTAAAACAGCTGCTCAAGGCAGCCAAGGCAGCCATTGAAAGAAACGACCCAGAAGACGCCATATACTATGCCGATGAAGTCCTTGAAGAAGACAAAAATAACTACTACGCCTATATCTTCAAGGGCAAGTCGTACCAGCTTCTAGGCGACTTTGAGAAGGCCATGAAGCCATTCCAGAAAGCCATAGATCTTGATAAAGACCAGCTACTTGGCTGGAAAGGATACTTCCAGAGCGTCAGATCACAAGCAGATTTTGACAAATTTTTCGAGGTCTTCACCCAGTATGTTGAAAAACTAGTGGAACAGGGCGTCGCCACTGGAGATGCCGTCAAAGATCTTTATGCATACTTGAAGGCAAACAAATACCACGAAGATACAGCATTACATGAAAAATACCTACGTGCAATTCTCCCAGGCACGCCACTTAGAGAGCTTTTGGGCAACTCGGTGGGTACTGAGGATGAATCGATCAAGAAGCTCATTACCGTCACCAAAAACAACCAAGACGAACAGGCCAGAACGATACTCGCGAAGGAGAAGATGAAGTTGCCTAGAAACCTCACAGTGCAGCAGCAGGCCAAGCTACATGCCATTGAGTGGAGCATTCGCCTGGATTCAGATCTTCCCAATCTCTACAGACAATTCCTAGATGTCTGTGACGATGACGAGCTCAGAAGGTCGTACGAGGCTGAGTTGTTGAAATACTTGTACAATTTGCTTAAAATCTCTCCGGAGAAGGCCGACCTTTTGAAGGAAGTCAAGCTGTTGTGTGGTGATATGGTCCTTTTGGGCACCAACGACCTTTTCGCATGGACATTGTACTTTGACCTCCAGGACCCCAAGGCCATAGAAGATCTCGACGAAAACGAGGTCCTCACGTTTATCAAGAAGTTCAGAACGGAAGGCTTGGGCGTGTTCTTGTATGCCTACTTGATGAGTGATCTTGGACCATTCAATACCGAGAAGGTCCAGAAGGAATTGGGACTCAAGGATGTATCCAAGGACGCCTCTGACGAAAATAATGAGAGCAACGAGAATAATGACGATGTTGAGGACGATAACGGAAATGACATTTCTCCGGCCGAGATCCTTCTGATGATGCTTGAGGGCTACTCCAAGGCTACCAGCTCTATGATGGCTCACCGTATCATCTGCAGCTACTTCGTCAACCTTCAGGAATATGACTCTGGCTCTCAACGATGCACTACTGCAATCCGTCATCTTGCTGAGCTTCAAAGAACCTACGGCATCGAACTAGTAAACTGCAAAAGGGACATTTTGTGCCTGCTTGCCACAATCTACACATACCACGAAGCACCCAAGAACTTTGCTAGGGCTCTAGAGCTCTACGACAAGATTCTTATTGGCGATGCCGAAAACACACAAGCCATGATTGGTAAGGGTCTTATATTGTTGGAAAAGATGGAGCTCGATGGAGCTAACGAAGCCCTCTCCAAGGTTCTTGAGAAGTTTCCCGAGGATGCAACTGCACTCAAGGAGTTGGGTTGGTGTCTTGTGTTGCAGAAGCAGTACGAAAAGGGTAGAGAGCTTCTTCAACATGCCCTCAAAAGCTCGAAAGATATGTCTGTGCATGGACTGGAGACAAAGGCTGCTATCAAATGGCGTCTTGCTAAGAGTTATCTCTGGGAGGACTCTTCTAGTGAAACTAACGTTCAAGCAGCTTTTGATCTTTTGATCAGCTCATTGAAGGACTCGAAAACATACGCACCATCGTACACATTGCTTGGTGTTTTATACCACGATCACTATAACCAGAAAGCTCGTGCCCAAAAATGCTTCTACCGTGCATTCGAGCTTGATGTTGGTGAAATCACCTCAGCAAAGTACCTCGTGACAGAGCTTGCTGAAAAGAACGAGTGGGAGGTCAGTGACATCTTGTGTACTCGTGTTGTGACGTCGGAAAAAAGCCGTCGTATGTTGTCCAGTGCTCTTTATGAAGATCCTGATAAGTCCTGGCCATACAGAGTTCTTGGAAGCTCTGCATTGAACAGGCAAGACGACGCCAAAGCCATTGAGTGGTTCCAAACTGCCCTTCGTATGAAGGCCATGGATGTTCAATGCTGGATTGGACTTGGTGAGGCGTACTACAACTGTGGTCGTATTGATGCTGCTATCAAGGTGTTCAAGCGTACCAGCAAGATGGATCCTGAGTCATGGATGCTCAAGTACATGCTCGGTGTTGCAACCTGTGAGATTGGTGATTACAGTGCTGGTCTTGAAATTTTGAATGAGGCCCTTGAAGCAAGACCAGAGGAGGAGTGTTTGCTCAATGCCATCTATGAGCAGTCAATTGGCTACAGTGCCCAGCTTTTGCTTGGAGGATTCACCGGTAGAACTTTGAAGATCTCTGATGGTGCTTTAGATGCCATTCACAGAGCTGTTTCGGTGAACAAAGCTTCCCAGAATTTGTGGAGAGCACTCAACAACACGCTCAAAATCAGAATCAACGTTCAATCCGACATTCAGAACTTCCCAATTCAGAAGGTGGTGGACATCTTGAAACATGTCGAGTTGCCATCGGATGATGTTGTTTCCGTTGATGCAGCTCAGAAGCTTTTCCAAGAAGAACAGTTTGTGGAGGCCATTGGTTTGCTTGGTATTCTCGTTGCACAAAGTGCCATAGCTGTACTCCCCAGCAAAGCCAACAAATACCAAAAGTCGATTACTCTTTTCAACTTGGGTGTGGCTTACCTAGAGGCATTCAACTGTGCAGATGAGCGTAACGAAAAACTCCTTGACAAGGCTATCCAGTCCATCAAGGACGCCATCAAGATCGAAGGCAGCAACGCTCAATTCTGGTTGGCTCTCGGAAACGCTTTTGTTTCCAGAAACCCAGAGATTGCCCAGCACTGCTACATCAAAGCGTCTGTGCTCGACAACAAGGACCCACAGGTGTGGACCAACTTGGCAGCTTTGTACTTGCGTTTTGGTGATTCAGAGCTTGCACAAGAAGCATTTGACAGAGCTACGTCTGTTGCACCTGATCAGTCAAAGTCCTGGTTGGGTAACGCTTTGACTGCTGATGCCCTTGACGACAAGCAGACTGCGTCGAGACTTTTCACTCACGCTTACATCATTTCCAATGGCAGATTACCGTTGGCCCAGCTCTGCTATGCCATGTCGATCGTCAACGCTAGAATCGGTAATTCCAAAGACTCCAGAGATGTCGAAGCCGCTCAGGAGTTCAGTATTGCCAACTTTGCCATTCAAGCCTTCCTCAAGTTCCATCCAAACGACGAGGTTGGATTGAAAATGGCGCTTCTCTTGAGTGAGCGGTGTCACACGTACAATTTGGCGATTGAGTCTGGAAAGAGGCTTTGTGACCTTTTGGAGAAGAAGTACGAGAGCTCCGAGAGCGAGGTTGTTCTTGTTGAGTACGCAAAGGCCAAGACGCAGTTGGCGAGAATTTATTTGGGATTGGCCAATTACGGTGACGCCATAGACAATGCCCAGGTGACCTTGGATGTTTTGGAAGAGGAGGAAGAGACTCAGGATGTGAGAGAGGCGAAATTGTCGTCACGCATTGTCATTGGATTGTCCTTCTTTTTCAATGGCCAGTTTGACGAGGCCATGGAGGAGCTCAAGATTGTGCTTGAGACACACGGCCAGTCACAGAGAATGGTGACTTTGATTGCCCAGGTGCTCAATGCATACGGCACCTCCGAGACCAAGCAGGACGCCTTGGACCAGCTTTTCGCTTTCATCGAGGAAAACGGCTCGTCTCTTCTTGTTGTGCTCACCTTGGGCGCCATTTCCGTGGTGGACCAGCTCGAAGACTATTACGAGCCGATCAAGGAGGAGCTCTCGAACTTGTCGCTTGAGGAGCTCATTGCTGACTCTTTCCGCATGGTGCCGCAGCTTTTGGCGGAAGTGGAGCAGACGCAGGTTAGAAAGAGAGGTGTGTGGCAGAAGTTCGCTATGCTTTTCCCCAGCGACTTCAATGTGTGGAAGAACTTGAGTCGGACCATGGCCTTGGACACGGCGCTTTTGCCTACATCCAAGAGACCAGCGTTTGACTTAGCGGAGGCGTACGTGGAGAAGGGTTCCAGAAGAGAGATACAGCGTGCATTGTTGCTTTGTGTGAATAATGAGAGAGCCAGGCAGGCGCTCTGCTGAGATTTGCATCTATGGAAGAAGATCAAAAGCTTAACCTACGTCAACTGTGTTGACACTACCTCCATGGTTTTGAACGGTCAGGGTCTCTACCACCTCGATCGGATCTGGCATGACTCCGACGATGTTGACTCTGTTCGTCGTCATGAGCGTGACGGCTGACTCACCGGGGCTTGACGTGACTACCAAAAATGGTCGGCGATCCGGGCTTGACATTCTCGGTCACCGTTCTTTCTAGGCAGCGTGACTTCCAGATCCAGGACCCTGTGCTTATCAGATCCAGCTCAGCAGATCCCGCATACTGTGATTTAGCGTGACGAGATTTTTGGCATCACCAAACAAAAATCTGCCGCTCTTTTTTAGCTACTGCTTCCGGAAGTCCTGATCCTTATCTACATGTGATCACGGTGGCTGCGAAAACAGTCGGGAGTGACGTCGCAGAATGCGCAAAAACAGGCAGGCAGTGACTCGGGAGGCAAAAAGTGACACACCTTTCCAAGGCTGGGTGAGGGAGCCTTGTCGTGAGGGCCTTGGGGTGCTTGTGTGCAGTCCCGCACCAAAACATGAGAGCCCCGGACTACCAGGTCCTGCAACACCATACCAGGATACGCAGCACCCAGTGACACAGCATTTTTTGGAAACACATCCATCCAATCCGATCTTTCGATTGAAGCAGCATACTTGCCCTAGAGGACCACGTGATACACCCGGACACCGCATTCATCAGGTTGCATTTCCCTCCCAAAAAGCACCCTCTTGCCTCCTGCCCCCTCCTCGTCCCCCTCCTCCACACCATCTCTTGCTGGCCCGTGCCTCTTACCACACCTCCCATCTGCTACCACTACCTGAACTAGAAAAACTCGCCACCGAGGCGCCAGCACAGTGACTCATCCACCATATCGTTAACATATACCATTATTTATACGTTCCTCCAAGTGTGGCACACCCAGCCCTCCCGATAAGCTGATATGACAGATAAGGCCGTAGCAGCCGCCAAGGCGCCGCCGAAACAGCAGAACACGAAGCTCCTCCAGGTGATCCAGAACTTCTTCACCAAAACCTCCCAGATCATCTTGCAAACGCGATCGGTTGCGGATCCGACGGTGTTTGACTATGGCTCCTCCGACACCACAGACAGCAGGTCCAAGACCAACAAGTGGTTCAATTTGAATATCGCATCGCCGGGCGACGACTGGATCAAGGACGAGATGAAACTCTGGAAGTCCTTTTCCGATCTCTCCCAGCTCCACCCGATGATTATAGAAACCTACTTGGACTTGCGCCAGCTAGATCCAAGAGAAACTGTGGCGTTGGAAGACGACACGGGCAATTCGTGGACCGTGGCCAAGGGCGGCCTCAAGAAACAGGAGGTTGTCGTGGAGCGCTGGCTCATTGAGTTTGACCGCTCGGTGTGCTCCGATGCTGACTCAGACGAGCTCCCACTTATCTACAAGCAGGCAATTGTCTTGCTTCGTGTGATCTACGGCTACGCCCGCCTTCTTCCCGCCTATAAGCTCCGCATGATACTCTGCCAGCAGTCTGGCAAGGGTCTTGCGCTCATGAACAAGATCATCGATGGGAAGCAGCCCATCAGCTCCAAGGGCCGCATAGGCTTGTCCAAGTCCATCATTCCCCACCAGATGCTTCTTACAGAATCACACATGACGCAGAAGTCGTTCGAACCCGTCAAGACCACCGCAGGCTCCCTCAGGGTGTCGGTGGCATACAGAAACCACTACCGGTTCACCGTCCAGGATAACGAGGAGATGCTTTCCAACCACTTCTGGAACACCGACCAGGAGAAGTTGGCAGCACTGCTTGACCGCTCCCACATCTCGGACACACCATCCCACTCTGCATCGGACTCCCGCTCGGCGCTGGTCTCCCAGGAGGAAGCCAAGGCGCCCAAGGAGCCCACCAACTTTGCATTAAACACCACGAAGCAGTCCGTTCTGCCATGCACTTCCGAGCACCAGCCGGATCATCACAATGAAACGTCGCCCACATCGAAAACCTCCACCAATCGTGTCAAGCAGGTGCTGTACGCCCAGCCTGCTGCAAGCGTGCAAAGACCAAGCATCCAGCCTTTCAAGGTTGGCTCTATCAGCAACTCGCCTCCCAGCGGTAACATCTCTTTTGCATCTGGCGCCGCTGGAAGCGTCGCTGGTTCGACGATGGAGCGGAGGATCTCTATTACCAGCAATAAGTCTGGCTCGAATGCCTCGCTCGCAGCTTTGTTGAGAAATCCAAGAGGCTCGACTTCATCTTCGAACACACCCACCGTTGCTATTTCTGGCTCTCATGGTAATAATCCTGGTGCGGTATTCCCCAGGTCGATCTCGTCGTCGCATGGATCTCATCTCCACGACGACCTCAGCGAGTTGTCGGGAACACCAAGATTCTCATCGTCATTTGGCTCTCGTCAAAGCAGAAGGTTCAGCAACACGAGTGCTCGTAGCTCCGTTGCCAATGAGCCTGGTGCTTCACTCTACGGTGCTAGTGTGGAGCTGACTACCTCATCAGGTGCACCTCTCAGTGGTCTCTACCTTGATGACGACATCAGCACCTTCGTCCGCATGATCGACTGTAAGTCTGATCTCAGGTTGAGCAGCACTGTGTCAAAGACAAACTCCAGACATACTGATAGCAACTCGCTGATTGACGCCTTGAGCAAGTTCCAGCTGTTGAAGGGCCAGCACCAGCAGTTGAGCGACTCGGTAAATGCTAGCGTCATTTTCCAGCATAACCAAGGTGGCTCGTTCCACAGCAACTCGCGAGGTATCAGCCGTCCTAGCAGCCGCAAATCTTCGCATTCAAGAGCTCTGCCTTCCCCCTCCATTTCTCCAAGCTCATACGACAACCACTTGCCGTCGATCACATCAAAGCTTGAGCTGCATGGTCTGGAGCACAGCATTTCACATTTGAGGCCAAGAAGCAGACAGGCGCTGCAAATCAGTGCCCAAATTCCACAGAACTATGGCAGAACACGGTTGGCGTCCTCGCCTACCGTAACCAGCACATTGACGCATGCTGTGCACAGACCCGAAGGCCCAGAGGTAACAGGCTTATCTACAACTCCATCTGTGTATGATAGAGCCAAACGGCCAATCAAGTACGAAGACGTCTTTGATGACGAGGAAGAAGACGCAAGTGACTACTTTATGAGGAGAGTGGAATCCGACCCCACGGGCTCCCGCACGCACGAAGAAATGGGCTTCGACAATGACGACTTGCTTTTTGAGATGACAGATACAAAGTAAAGTGTGCACGTTGATTTCCGTTCCTTCTTTGTATATGTTAATCAATGGTTGCAAAAAGCTAAGTGTACGTCCTGTACATGAGCCGTCGCACCTGCTGGCTCGTTTATGTGTCACAGGACTGAGCCCTTTTTTTCTCTGCCAACCATCTTGCTCCACACCTCAGCGTGCTTCGGTACTGCAGACAAGCCGGGTTACATAGTCTCGCTTGGTATCTCCAGAAACTAAGTTATCCCGTTTTTTCCCGACTTCCCATGCTATTACAAACGACTCGTTGTCAGGCACAGCTACTCAAGCATGTTGCACGTGCTTTCCGAAATCCCAGATTCTTAGCGACTTCCTCCGACTCAGGATCTCTGCCGATAGAGTTGTATGACCTACGAGTGAAGCAAAACAGGCTTCGAGACGATCCATATCAAAGAAAGATTATCCTGAGCTTATCGATATTGCATGAAAAGCTTGAAAACTACGAACCTCCCCAGATTGAGAATCCAGATGTAGAGAGTCTCAAACCCAAAATAGGAATCGCCAAAATATTTGATTCGTTCCTCGGTTCCAAGAAGAAAGAACTAAACACTATAGACATCCCTGAAAACGAGATAAAGGGCATTTACTTGTGGGGAGACGTTGGGTGTGGAAAAACCATGCTCATGGACCTTTTTTACCTGTCAGTCCCTAATCATCTTGCCAAAAAGAGGTTCCACTTCCACCAGTTCATGCAGAATCTACACAAACGCTCCCACCAACTCAAGATAGAACACAAACACATGGATCTAGATGTCATTCCTTTGTTGGCGGCCGAGATTTCCCAACAAGCCACAGTTTTATGTTTTGACGAGTTCCAGGTCACCGACGTTGCAGACGCCATGTTGCTCAGAAGGCTCATGACCTTGTTGATGAGTCCCGATTATGGCGTCATTTTGTTTGCCACGTCCAACAGAGCGCCTGATGATTTGTACATGAACGGTATTCAGAGAGTCTCGTTTGTCCCGTGTATCCAGCTTATCAAGAAGCAAACACGTGTGATTTACTTGAACTCGCCTACCGATTATAGAAAAGTGCCCCGCCCCGTCTCCTCCGTCTACCACTATCCTAAGCCAGGCGTCAAGTATCACAGTAAGGTGAATGCGGCTGCGTGCCGGAAGCATATCCTGCAATGGTACGACTACTTCAATAGAGACGACCAAATGGAGGAAGCCAAGATCAATGAGGAGCTTACCGTGTGGGGCAGAAAGCTTATTGTTCCAAAGAGCTCACATCCTTACGTTGCACAATTCACATTTGAAGAGCTCTGCGGCCACAACCTTAGTGCCGGTGACTACTTGACATTGGCCAACACGTACAAAGCATTCATTGTCACTGACATTCCTTACTTGAGTATAGAGGCAAGAAACGAGGTGCGTCGGTTCATCACGTTCCTTGATGCCGTGTATGATGCGCATGATTGTTTGGCAACCACTGCTGCTGCGCCATTCAAAGATTTGTTTGTGGAGCCCGAAGACCTTCAGAAAGATAACTTCGAGCTCTACCAGCGCCAAAAAAATAAAGGCGCCGAAGAGACCTTCGAGGATGACGAGTTGGTGGTGCGCCATGGCTTCGACAAGCTGATAGCAAAGAAGGCATCCATGTTCGTCAACGACGAGGAGAAATTTGCATTTGCGCGTGCACTCAGTAGACTCACACAGATGGGCACGACAGACTGGGTGGAGTCCAGTACCGGCGATACCTAGATATTTATTAACGACAAGTTCCACTATGCATCAGTAAACGTCCTGTACACAAGTAGGGTGGTAACTCAAGTATCAACACTTTTCAGCTCAACCAACAACCACCTCTCATCATGTCTGCCAACGATATCTTGGATGTGCTTAACATTCAGCGTGATGAGGCGACTCAGCCTAAAAAGAAACAAAAGACTGAGTCCCAGCCACAACCCCAAAAAGGTGGTATGGCCAGAGAGCTATATAACCTTTTAGGTCCAAACACACCTCCCGTGAATATGGCCATGGGTCCTGGATCAAAGATCAAAGATAGAAAGCTAATGAAGGTTTCTCCATGGACCAAGATGCCCTTTGTTCCAAATAAGCAGGCCAAGGGCGGTCCTACCTTGTACCACTGGGAGAAAGGTAGCAGAGAGCTTCTTGAACAAGGACGTGAAAACAAGCCATACTTTTTCGATAAATTCATTGTCAGCATAGATATTCCGGAGCTCGTGGACGAGGAGAAGTACAACAAGTTCATGGAAGAGGTGAAGGCCAAGAACGAGCAGAAGAAGAAGGAGAGGGAGGAAAGAGAAGCAAAGCATAAAGAGGAGGTCAAGAAAGCCGAGGAGGCAAAGAAGGCGAAGGAGGAAGCTAATATCAAGAAGGAGGACGAGGACAAAAGTGAAAAGAGCGATCTGAACGGACCCGCATCCAAAGACAAGAAGGACAAGGAAGAGTCTAAGGAAGAGTCCAAGGAGGTTTCCGTGGAGACCCAGGAGGAGCCTGAAAGAGAATGGACTTACGAGGAAACGAAGCTTTTATTCGAGCTCTGCAAGACTTTCGAGCTCAAGTGGCCCGTCGTTTACGACAGGTTCCCTGCCAGAGATAGAAAGTTGGAGGATTTGAAGGAACAGTTCTACCGAATCAGCTCGCTAACGCTCAAGGATAGCGGAACTGGTAATCCGCACCTTTTGGAGTCGTTGGATGCTTTTTCGAAGCTGGCCGAGCTCGATAGAAAGCAGTACCTTGAGAACCTTCTCAAGAGAACCCCAGCTGAAATCGCAGAGGAAGAGTCGTTGGTCATTGAAGCTCGTCGTTTCGAGCTTGCAGCTAAAAAGATGCTTATGGAACGTTCAAACTTGCTCACATTGCTCGATCTGCCCCAGGCATCTCAGCTGGTACTGCAATACCAATCCTCTCAGGGCCTCACAAACTTGTACAATAACTTGATGATCATGGACAAGCACCAGAAGAAGAAACAGTTGCAACAGCGTGCGGCTTCTACGAATGATCCTGTTCCTCCTGCAATCCCCATGGCTGCATCCTCGTCTTTCAAGAAAGATAAGGCCTTCCAAACACATCTACAACAGTACTTGTCCGGAGTGCTCAAACAGCAGCAAAGCTCAGGACAGCACGTTAAGGGTGAGCCCAACGCTATTCAACTGCTTCTTGCTAAAAGACTTACGCCCAAAGAGGAAGAAGCTTATGGATTGCACTACCACGCTAACGAACGTCTCACTCCCGGTGTAATGTTACGCTCCAGTCACAGGTTGCCTGGTTTGCAGCAAAGACAGAGTGTGTTCAAGTCCATCAACCTGTTGCTCCAGGAGCTTGATATTCCTACTGTTGGTGGTACCACTTGGAAACCTGTCATGCCAACGAGAAAGACCATGGCCAAGTACGACGAACTCATCAGGGCCAGTGTGGCTTTGCTCGAGGTCAAGAAGGGTAAAGATAAAATGGAGGCCGAGATTGAGCTCATTAAGAGTCAGCAAGGCCTTCAGTGATCCTATCATGGGTGCTTGGCACCCCCTGTATTCTATGTAATGCTAGTAATGCTAAAATGTGATGTCAAAAGGCTCCGGTACGACCGTCACCTCCAGACCTGCCGTCTTTTTTTCGTAGACCTCTTTGAGCTTTTTCAAAGTAGTATTCAAAGGTCCTAATGCGTTTTCGTAATCTGCATGGGTATGTTCGTACGGTGGTAAGTACGGGCCTGTGTCTCCAGTCTTCAACTGATTAAGACTGAGATCACTCAATATTCTGTTGTAGGTCCCGTGCTGATGTAAGCGTTCCTCGAATTGTCGGATACTCTCGAGGTGTTCATTAAGTTCGTCATAACCATCATAGATGTAAACCCCGGCAAACATGATGTCGGCGCAAATGGACACGGTCTCAATCTGATACATGACGTAGTTACTGTCTGTCTCTATTGCGGCGACGCTTGGAACATTGGCAACGATTTGTAGCAATTTCTTGAACAGCCTATCCACAACATCAAGCATGCAATTGTGAAGTCGGAAATGAATGAATTTGATGAGGAACGAGACTTGAGCCCAGTACATATCATGCTTTGAAGCAGCCTCAACATAAATCTCGAAAACCGAGAAAAGAAGTTGAGAGTTAGTTTGGCTTACCCACTTGCCGAGAGCCTCGGCGTAGTCCTTCTCAAACTTAAGTGCATTGGTGAACTCAACATTGAGTAACAGAATGCGCTCGTCATTACTTGCCTGTGCCCATGTCGACTGCAATCTCTTGCTGGGGAAACCTAACTTTTCTGAAACGCTCCAGAATTCTTCAATGTCTTCAACAAGAGTGAGACAATTTCCACTGATCAAACTGATAATGCGACGAAGGAACTCTATGATTTGTAAATTATCATAGTGAGCGTTGAACTCATACTCTATCTCTTTGACCATCTCTGTTATCAACAAGGCCTTTTCTGCTACCACCAATGAATTCGAATTGGCGATACGGTTGATGAAACTCGAAAGAATCTGATACTTCTGTCCGTGTACCAGCACCATAGGTTGGGCGGCTAGCTTTCGGCATGCGGTTAATGATCCTCTTGTTCTGCTTAACGATCTGAAAACCAAGGTGCTGTATTTTGACAATCTGCTCGATATCATCGCTTTAATGAATAGCTTATCCATCTCAAAAATGGCAGAATGACTGACCTCGCCCTGATTTAAATAAACCCAGCAAAAGTATAACGCAAACCTGTCACGCAGCAGCTTGTTGCCGAGATACGAGAACTTCTGAAGCATCATGAAGTTCCAATTCTGTGAGCTGTTGGCATGAGCAAATTGGATCCAAATCTGGATAGATTTCTCAATGACATTCTCCAATATCTCATCCTGCCTCAAATCTGCTACTGGTAAGCGATTCATTTGAGCACTCAAGAATGAGGTTACAGTTCTGATTAGCGAGTCAATCAGATCTGATGAAGCCGAAGCCTGCTCCTTGTGGACTCTCAAGAGCTCGGCAAATGAGAGCATTTGATCCAACACTCGACCCCGTAACCTGTCGGGAATGACACTGATCTCGATGGCTCTCAAAAACGCCAAAGACTGTGGAGTCTTGGATATATCGATCACGCGAAGGCCACAATCAATGAGCCTGGTGAGAAGCGATGGCATACCCTGAAGTCTATCATACGAGGCGCTGAAAGAGTTCAACATTGCCTGGAAAGCAGTGACCGGAAGGCCAACTTTCTTCCTCTCTGATACTTGAGCAAATGTATCAAATGCATCAACGGCTCTTGAGTAGATGAACATATCTTTGAATTCAATGATTTGGTCAATGAGACTGGAAAATGGACTGCGAAGGTCGACATCTGAGATTTGAAATAAAAGCAAGATCAAGTTGAGTCTATTGATGAACATGATCTGATACTTGCGTCCTTTTTGGTAGTGGTACTGACTTGAAGCAACGAGTTTTGTGATAAGCCTTTTCACTTCTTTTCTTTCACAAAGGTCAGAGATGTATGTGTATACGAAGCCCAAAAACCTTTCAAACACCGTATCCTGTGGAATATCATGTTTTGACAAAATCACCCCGATAGAGGTGGGAACTGAGGTCTCGTTCTCGAAATTGGTGAATTTCCTTTTTGCAAAGGACAGGTACAAAGTGAGAATCAACTTTTCTTCCAACGGCCATTCGAGATTGTTGTGGACTAGCTCACAAATGTCAATAAAGTCATGATGATCTTCAGCGTGAGAAGAGCCTTGGGAGTTATTAAGGATGGTGATAAATGGAGTCCAGTTGAACTTGTTAGAGGGGCACATTGAGGCCAAAGCGTAAACGATATTCATCGACTCAAAACTTGAGTCCATAAGCGGATCTAAGTCTTGTAAGGCCTCAGAAACTGTTGGCCACCAAATGTCTTTCTTGTTTCCAAAAAGAAAATACATCATGCAAAGTGACTCTGATAATTCTGTTGGCGTCTCGCTTTTGAAGGTCAAGGAAATATCAGTGGAGTCGTAAGTTTTGAATATAATTGACCAGAAATCGATGCAATATTTTTCGAATTCTGAGAAAAGCGACCGATAGTCCCCTTCACCATTAGTTCTCTCTAACTGATACGCGATATAGTAAACAAGAAGGATATGAGCGTAGAAGAAGGTCTGGTGCTTTCTTATCTCTTTGGTCTGAAGTTTCGTGAAGTCGTTGAGTAGCTCGTCGATCAACTCCCACGCGGCTTTTGGAATCGGAAGTCGATATATGAGAAGCCATTTGATCAAAGCCCGAGTAGCATCCTTCACTTCTGTTCGAATGGAAGGATTTAGTTGAGCTTTTACTGAGCTCACGAGCTTTCGCAAATGGGTCAAAAGACGGGTGATGTTTTGAGAACTGGACTCTTGCTGGAATAGACCAAACACATATTGTTTGCCAAGTAAAGTGAATGACACTGTATCATTATGAGGGAAAAATATGAAACCATCTCCGATAGTATGAATGCGCTGCAAATCATTGTATGCTAAAATGGAATCCGTGGATGCAAATAAATTATCTGAAAAGAGTGAGGATTTTGAAGGGTTGAAATATGCTGATGGAACGGCGAAGCCGCTAGTATGCTGTTTGACGAATTTAGTCAAGCTCTCGACCTCAAATGCTGTCGTGGCAAGGAAGTGTTTAGTTCTGAGAGGACGACTCTTTGAGCGTGCAGTTGGTTTGGAATTCTTTTTAGGGTTCTCCTTATCTGAGTCGGAGTCGACATCGACACTCAACACGCTCTGCTTTTGCTTTGCTCTGTTGGTCAGCTCAGGTCTATGATACAGCTTTGTTGGTCTTGGTGAGTTTGCCCTATTGCTGTGCTGGAGTGGCTTTCTTTGCTGTGGCGGTTTGCTGAACTTGCGTGTGTTGAGCCTTCCATAACTGCTGGTTGAACTTCGATGTGTGCTCGTCTTAGAGCGTGGGCCTCTAGAGTAGGAAGGCTGGTGCGGAGTCGTGCTGGATGATGCCTTGACCCTAGGTGTCAGAACTGAATGACGCGATTGAGTTTTGTGTTTGCGGGATCTACTCTTTCTTCCCGATGCAAATAGGTGGTTGATGTGGTCTGCCTCCTGGGCACCGCCACCAAGGTCGAAGTCGTCGAGATAGGTTTGTGGAGGTTCAATCAAATCTGAGCTCTTGGTGGTGTCTGCGTTGTCAGAGAAGAGCTCGTTTTCAGAGTCACTGTCGTAGTCAGATGAGCTCTCCGAACGTACTAGCTCAGAAAGGTCCAGCCTGAATGACGTAATCTGAGGCTGGAAGAACGACTGGTAGTTCGGGGTGTATTCTTCATAGGTCTCACGAGAGTCAACAAACTGACCGAGCTCAAGCTCGAGCGAGCGATTGACTCCGGATGATCCCATTTTCCTCACGGCTAGACCCTTTCTGGGCTGCTCTTGGCGGCGCATCTTCCTCTTCAGTTTGTAGACCCTCTCCCTTGGCTCATCTAGTCTTCGTTTATATGACCCACCGATGTCGTTTTCGCTGTCGCTGGCCAGATCGTAGACTTTCGGCGGAGGCCTATGCTCGACGCCTTCGTATGGAATCATCTCCTGGTCCTCCTCGTCGGATGCGTTATCTGGTTCGTAGTTGAGCTGCAGCGACAGAGGGTCGTCTTGAAGATCCATCGTTTCCGCATCGGGATCGCCTGCCAATGCCATAGCCTTGGACTTGCCCAAATGTGCGTAGAAGTTGCGAGCCTTGTACCGTTCCTCGTCTGGATACCGCTTCTTGCGTTTGAGATACAACTGGTTGAGTGCTCGAGCCACCACGGTCAAATTGTCGTTATCTGAGAACATCTCGTTGATGCTGTCGACGGTGCAAATGCCCAAGTAGTCTGCCTGGTCGGCGATGTACGGGTGGCGACTGGCAAAAGTACGTTTTCGTAGGGACCTTCCAGCTCTAACTGGAGTTTCTGGTTCAATAGCCTCCTGGACCGTTTCCAACGGGTTGATTTCCATCAACAGCTGCTCCTTCATGGGCGAGGAGCTTTGAATAACGATTCTTTCAGGCAGCAGCGGGATGTCGTACGTGTCGTAGACGCCTTCAAAAGGAGTGCCATCAGCTTCACTTCTCAATCTGTGCTTTGTTTCCTCCGACAAAAAGCCAAAGACCCGCCGTAGCAGGCCTGTATCGATGGCTGTAGCCAGCAACATGGGAAGCGAGTTCTCGGTGTCCGAGTCGGCGACCGAGTCCATGGCTGGGTTTTGAATGAAATGGTGAAGTTAAAGAAGAAGTAGAAGGTGTAGGTAGGTGATGCAGGAGCACTGTTTTGGCTCGCGGTGGTATCAAAGGGACGCATCTGAGGGGGAGTTTATGGGACCAAGTGGATTTTCACGATTTTTAAAGAGAGCTGGGAAGAATAGGGGTAGTCTTTATGGTAATTTTTGATTTTTATAGGGAAATTGAGGGGTGGTGCTAAGTTGGATGGGTGTATGGAAATGGTTGCAAAACGCGGTATACTGCAGTACCTTGCAGTAGTAGAGGATACGCTAGACGGTGGATTTCCTTTGATTATTGAATTTTTAGATGCACGAGATGAATTGACAATATTGATCAAGAATTGAGGGGTAGAATTGGCATTAGTGGCTTGAGAATAGTCAACTTTGTGATATATTCAACGGCTTTACGTAAGTGTAAAGGCTGTATCTCACAATGCGGTCCATCAAAGATGGATTTCATGTAAGCCGTTTCTTCCTAGTTACATGAGCTAGAAACACCTTGTTGTGATTTCCATACGGATCAGTTTTCATATGATACATCATAAGTATCCTGATGAATGCTACAAGTGATGCTTATTAGGAACCTGTGGGTGTGTTGATCTCCTTCACTTACCATTTCTTAAATCTAAGGCTTGGCTCGATATGTTTTGTCTGGCATAAATTACGTTTTAGATCCTCAATCATCAATTTTGCAACCGTATATGATGAATGTGAAGTCCCGCAAATGTATCCATAATAATCATTGCACGCTATAGAAATCCAACGATTGAACTTAAAATTCGGATCCCCTCGAAGTTCTTGTCTTTTTTGTTTCATTGTAATTACCTGGAAGTATGCCAGGATCTCATATCCTGCGAGCGTCTGATGCAACATCGCACTTCACATTTTGACTGCGAAAACTATCAATTCATCACAAATTCACCAACTTCAAAATATACCAAAATAACCACTTCTTCAAAACAGACACAACAGAACTTCAATTTAAGACCCTTTCCAACGCTCCAGTCCCCATTCCCACCAGCAATTGATCAATTGTTTCCAACCAAGGCACGTGACCAAACTCAAATCTCAAAAAATTAAATTCAATCCAAACACATCGCTGCCTAAAACATGGATAACCGCAGGGTGCTAAAAGCGTACCAGGATCGTGGCCGCGAGAAGGTCTTGCCTTACCCTTCTAAAGCAGGCTTGCTCCTGAAAATGAAACGTTACATTTCGGGCTCCTCCCTATGGCAGGAGACTCTGAGAAACCCTTCTGCTTCCTCGTCCAGGGTTTCTTCCAGAACGGCATCAAGAAAGCCCTCGGTGTCACAGCCCAATGCTCATTCATCACGTCTTTTGAGTGAATCCTTTGCTGCTGCCTCCACAACAAACCAGTCCATGGACCAGAATCCAGATCAGACTGCCAACGATGTATTGTCCTCCTTCTTCAAAGAAAAGGGCGACAGACCCTTGTCTCAGATTGAGTATGAGGGTGTCATGTCTCTTTTAGAGAAATCCAGAGCCAACACTACATTGCCATTGAATGACGAGCAGCACACATTGCTCAAATCACCCACTAGAGAGCCTTCCTTCTCCCAGCATAACAACACTACCTTTTCCAATCAGCGAGTGTTGAAGAACACAAGCATATATGAAGGAGCAAATGCCACCTTTGCCGCTCCTGACTATAGACCTCTGTATCAGAATTTTGGTGACAACTCTAGAGTCGCCCCAGTGAAGCGTGTGTACCAATTTTCTGGATTGCCCTCGCCGTACAAAACGAGAATACGGGCGCCAGGTCAGCGGAAAGCGAGAAGAATTGCAACTGAAGCTGATATTACGCCCTCTGCTGGCGCTATCCCAGAGGCCGAAACGCCGAAGCGCATCAGCAGCACTGCTAGCTCGCTTTTATCTGTCTTGGACAATCAAAAGAAGGAAGGGAATGATGTTGCTGTTAGCACAAACGACAAGCCTCTTCACAACCCATATGCCAAGAACAGAAGAAGAACAGCCAAAACCAGCACTACCAAGCCTTACAGTACGGCGGATGATATCAGCAAGACAGTCGCATTTAACAAGGCCAAAGACTTGGCTGAATCTCCGGAGAAAGCAAATGACTCGTTGTTTTCACCTGAGAAAACCGAAAAGGCCCCAGAAATTACTGAGCCTGCCTCCAACGGTAAGTCATCCAATCCCTTGTTCACCTTCAAACCTTCAGAAACGAAACCCGCTGAAAAGAAACCTGCATTTTCATTCAACCTTAAGGACTCAGAAACCAAGGATGATGAAACCCCCAAAGAGAAGGCCAAGCCCGACGCCAATGGCTTCCTCTTTGACTCCCAAAAGCCTGCATTTTCCTTCACTAATAAAGCCGACAGTACGTCTGGCTCAGATAGCAAAGGCCAAACATCTCTATTTGGCGCTTCTTCAGCCTTCAAGCCTCGTGAAACAGAGAGCAAGGGTCTGACATTTGCTTTCCCAGAAACTACGCCTGAACCAAACGGCGAGTCCAAAGCAGAGACTCAAAAGCCTCTAGAAAGTCAGACACCATCATTTGCTACACAAAAGAAAGAGGATGGACTCTTTGGCAAGTCTTCCACAGAGGAGAAGCCTGGTTCCTCTCTTTTTAAGGAGGTGAAGCCAGCTTTTTCTTTCGGAGCCAAGCCTGACGAAGCTAAAAAAGATGGTTCTCTTTTCAGCACTGAGAAGAAGGTCGACGAAGGGAATGGGCCCAAGGGTTTCGGTTTTGGAGCAATTGCACCCTCCAGCAAAACGGAGAAATCTGCTCCAAAGCCTGTATTTAACTTTGGCGCCAAAGAAGTGGAAGAAGAAGCTAAAGAAAAGGACGCTGCAGAGGACGTTGAGTCGAGCAAGGTAGAAAAGCCCGCATTTTCGTTCGGTGGATCCTCCAATTCTATCGCAGCCTTCGGCACTAACAACACCAAGACTGGCGAATCAAGCTCTCTTTTTGGTAAGAAGGATGACAAGAGTGACATGCCCGTTTTCTCGTTCTTGAGTAAAAACGACTCCAAGGAGGAGGACAAGGACAAAGCCCCTTCAAAACCAGCCTTTTCATTCGGGAGCAAGACGGCAGACAATGATCTGGCAAAACCCTCAACAACCTTCGGTAACTCTGAAGCTTCAAGCTCAAAGCCATTGTTCAGCAGCGGGTCTTCTGACGCCAAGCTGTTGTTTGGTTCTCTGAGTAAACCTCCAGCGTTCAATTTTGGTTCCTCCGAGAAGAAGGATGCCCCTGCCTTCAGTTTTGGAAGCAAAGAAGACAAAAAGGACGAGGCCAATGAAGACAAGGAAGAGAAGAAAGAGAAGCCAAGCTTCAGCTTCGGGGGCGCAGGTAGCGAGAAGAAGGCTGCTCCTGCTTTCAACTTCGGTGGAGACAAGAAGGAAGCACCAGCTTTCAGCTTTGGTAGCACGGAGAAGAAGGAGCCAGCCCAAGAGTCGGACAAGCTGACTGAAAAACCAGCCTTCAGTTTTGGAAGCTCTGAATCGAAGGACAAACCAGCATTCAATTTTGGCAGCTCGTCAAAGCTAGACGAAAAGCCCGCTTTCAGCTTTGGTGGCTCTAAGAAAGCTGACGACAAGCCTGCGTTCAGTTTTGGTAGCTCTGAAACCAAAGACAAGCCTGCTTTCAGCTTCGGTAGCTCTGGTAAAACCGATGAGAAACCGGCTTTCAGTTTCGGCAGCTCTGGCAAAACCGATGATAAGCCCGCCTTCAATTTCGGCAGCAAGGCTAACGACAAGCCTGCTTTCAGCTTTGGAAGCTCCGCCAAGACTGACGACAAGGCCTCTTCTGAGAAGAACGACAAGCCAGCTTTCAGTTTTGGCTCTACAAGCGAGTCCAAAGACAAGCCAGCTTTCAACTTTGGATCTAGCACCGAGAGCAAGCCCGCCTTCAACTTCGGCTCGTCCGCCTCAAGCGACAAGCCAAGCTTCAATTTCGGATCATCTACGGACAAGCCAGCCTTCAGTTTCGGCAGCTCTAATGTCAGCAAAAACGGCGGCGAGTCATCTGGAATTCCAGAATTCAAATTCCCCGAGGTGGAATCCGGAAATGTCACCGAAGAGGACAGAAGCCAAGCCGAGGAGTACAGCGAGCTCTTCAAGTTCTAACGCACTATGCGAGTCTTGTCTATAGTAACGATGTAGTAGGACCACCTGTAGGCATCTTTCGTATACGCGAAAATCACCAAACCGAACTACACCATCAATACTACCACATCGAAAATGTCAAAATTGAATTCTGTTTTGTTGGTAGGCGGTGCTGGCTTCCTCGGCTTGCACCTTGTGCAACAGTTTTACGACCATTGTCCTAACACAGCGATCCACGTCTTTGACATTCGTCCAATCCCAGACAATCTTTCAAAGTACTTCACCTTTGACAAAAGCAAGATCACCTTCCACCAGGGCGATTTGACGTCTGAAGAAGATATCGAAAAAGCCATCTCGTCCAGTGGCTGTGAAGTCATCGTTCACTCAGCATCCCCAATGCACGGCTTAGGTCAGGAGATCTACCAGAAGGTCAATGTGGTGGGCACTCAGGCTCTTTTGAAGGTGGCAAAAAGGACACCTGTCAAGGCTTTGATCTACACGTCCTCCGCTGGTGTCATCTTCAACGGCCAGGACGTGTACAACGCCAACGAGCTGTGGCCATACCCTGAGGTTCACATGGATGGGTACAACGAAACCAAGGCCATTGCTGAAACCGCCGTGATGAAGGCCAACGACGCCGACCTCGTGACCGTGTGTTTGCGTCCTGCTGGTATTTTTGGCCCTGGCGACCGTCAATTGGTTCCTGGTCTCAGAACCGCTGCTCGTTTAGGTCAGAGTAAGTTCCAGTTGGGCGACAACAATAACCTCTTTGACTGGTCCTACGCTGGAAACGTGGCCGATGCCCATGTCATTGCCGCCCAAAAGGCCCTTGACCCCAAGGCTCGTGAGCTCATTGGCGGAGAGACCTTCTTCGTCACCAACGACACTCCAGTGTACTTCTGGACCTTGGCCAGAACCGTGTGGAAGGCTGACGGCCACATTGACAAGTATAACATTGTGTTGAGCCGGCCTGTGGCGATCTTGGCGGGCTACTTGTCGCAGTTCTTCTCTGGTTTGTTGAAGAAGGAGCCTGGTCTCACTGCCTTCAGAGCCAGAGTGACCTGTGCTACTCGTTACCACGACATCACCAAGGCAAAGACGCTTCTTGGCTACGAGCCCGCCGTGCTGCTTGAGGAGGGCATCCGCCACACTCTTGACTGGATCTACGAGACTCACGAGGAGAAATAGTGCATTTGCTAGACGAGGAAGAACAGGGCTGCACCTAGAACGGCAGAAACCACCGACGTGATACGTGAGGCACCCGATAGTGCTGATGTTAGTAGGGAGGTGATGGTGTTTGGCGAGAAACATACCGGTTACGTTGGTCTGGTTTTGGATGATGTGGATGGTGGGTCTCAGGAAGTTGGCTGGAGGCTCGTACTCTTCCTCGTCCTCTTCTTCAGAACTGGACTCTGTGTCGTCCTGGTACGCCGCATAAAGCGTGTCTCCTTGATAGAGCTGCTTTGCCGGTTTCAGGAGCTGCGACTTGACCGAGATGGTGTTGCCTGGTTCGTCATCTACGACAGTCTTGGGTCTTCCTGCTCCGTCGTTCTTCTTGAAAGGAAGGTTGCAAGCGTTGATGTCGTTCAACGGTGCACAGTCATTGACCAAGACGGTTAGGAAATTGGCATTGGGGTTCCCAGGACAGAGATTGTGGCACTTTGGGTCCATGGACTGAAGAGCACAGCACTCACAGGCCAAGTCGTTGGCCTTGCAGTCGTCCAATTGTGCAAGCACCTGGTTGGAGCAAGCAGCCAACATGGCGATGTCAGAGTTGTCACACTTGTGGAGAGGTCTAGGGTGGGGGTTCTTGTACGAGCCGTATTCTGGCGCCACAAGCGCTGCGGCGAGAACCGGGATCAAGAGAAGTCGAGGCAACATGGTGGATGAGGCAGTGGGAGGTAGTAGGAATGGCTGCAAAATGGCCGCGAACATAGACACAAATGGGTTGAGTGTAGATGTGGACAGAAAAAGAAAGTAGGATTGCTCGTCTAAGTGAAGATAAAAATGCTTTGACGAGCTCAGTTATTTGGTTAGACAATTGTTGATTTGATTAGATAATTGATTTTTGGATTATGTGGAGAGTTTGTTAAGCCGTCTACTGGGGATACTCCATCCATCAGTCCTCTTGCTTGTTAACGGGTCATTTACATTATCGTTTCGATTATGGGAAGATGGACTTGAATCATGGATGATTTCTCAGGTGGAGATCTGCCAGACTCTCTTGTGCTGAGTTAAATGGTCCCAGTACACCTAGACTACAGTACTTGTCTAACAACCGAATCATCACCAGTTCGTCTACTCCTAAGACTAATCACCAACCCATCTTATCGTCATTTCCCAAATCCTAATTCATTTCCCACCACCTTCATAAGCCCGTCACTATACTTGTCTCAATTTGATGGACATCCCCATCTCAACACCTCTTCCTACACTACCGCACTGGCTGCGAAATGCCTCGACATGCTAACAAACACCCTTGTTCACTTGTCACCCTATTGTGTGCTATTGTTCCAGCCTCTCGAAAAAACCACTACAAACCCCCCCTCTATCCACGCCCAACGGCTATCAAATCTCACTGCTATCAAATCTCACCGTTATCTCTCTCTCCCTATCTCTATCTCATCCAAGCCTTCCGCGTAAACTCACCAAGCCAGCGTCTGATAACCAGCAACTACGCGACGGTCGATCTGCAACCGCTTGTTTATTTACCTTCAAGCCACCACGCCGTAGGCAAACAAAGGCTTGGGAGGCAGTGCTGGACGTGGATGTTCACAGAAAATCGACAAACTATCACTCGGTGTTCCGCCGTACCAAGCGGTTTTCGACTTTTTTTTTTTCGTTTTTGCAGCAACAGGCCCAGTGCCTTTGGGGATTCACGATTCGTCGATGCAACAGCGGGAAATTCGGCTGCTGGGGCTCGCAACAAGCCCACGACAATGTCGCACCGCCCCAGACCATTCTAGATCGGCCACCGTGAATCACCCCAAGCTGGCGTAAATTTTGAAGGATGAGTAGATAAAATTTGATTAAAGTTAAAAGAAGATGGAGGTGACAGCTGCTGAAGGAAGCTTGTAAGCAGCAGGGAAACAAAAAGAAAAAGAAAAAGAAATTGGTTGGCTGGTTCGTTGATTGGCTGGTAAGGGGGATCAGCCAATGTAGGATCACAAAATTTGCAACCCAAATCAACATTTTTTTCATTCCGTCCACCGCCCACCGGTTTCTTCGAAGAAATCGCCCAAACGGTTGCTATTCGCGCCCGCGTCGGTGCCTTACGCAAGGCGGTTTTATCCCATCTCGTTGTGAAATGCTTCCGCCCGTTCTGGTAAAGTGTGCTTTTTCGTGTAGCGGGCGACGTCATTTTCGTGTCACCGTGAATCTGCGAGGCGATCTCAGGCGGCGACACAAAGGACGATTGATCTGGTCTTCATTTTTCAAATTATTGCAAATTTAGCTTTTCCACTTATTTCACTTATTTCACTTACTTCATTTAAATAACCTTTTTCTTTCCTCTAGGTTTTGCCTGTTTCACATTAGCTTTCCACTGATCGCTCATTGGCCATGCGGTACGGCGTTTCGCAGCGGTACCCCTGGCCCTTACGTGCTGCACCACCCCACCATCTCGCCGAAGAAACCACGCCAATTTCGAGAAAAGGTGAATTTTTTGGAAAGTCAAAAAAATCTACCCCCAAAACCCCGAAAATCCTTCCTCTTCCATGAATTCCCCCAAAGCTCCTGCCCCCACGGGCCGACTTCCATATATAGAACACTTCTCTTGCTGCCTCGACGCGGCAGTAATTAGTGCGAGAGAACACACCATACATGCCGCACGGTCCAGGCAAATCACCAGCGTGAAACACCCCATGGTGAAGCCCCGAACCACCAGCTCTCCAGAACTATCCCTTTTTTCTATAGAAAAGCTAAAGCAAACAAAAAAACAGCGGACCCTCCCCTTATATACTGCTCCCCTGAGCCCTGCGTCTGTCCTGCCGCCCAGAATCCTCGCCAAGGTGTCACATTGGCTGCAAATCTGCACCACCACGGTGCCCAGCTTTTCAAACGTCAACCTGGTAAAAAACCACCTACTCTCCTACTCCACCTCCATCCTCTAATTAATCCTACCTTCCAAAAAACCCATGGAAGAACCGACAATGCTATAATTGTCCCACAGCCACGCTCTGCGCGACATACCGGTTAGCCGCTGCAAAAGCCTCCACCACTGCCTTCATTGTAAGTCGCGTATATAAAGACCGCCCGATCCTCCAAAATCCAAATCCCACCTCCATCCTCGATAATGTGGTTTCTTCCCCTTTTGGCCTTGTGGGCCTTGTCCCTCGTTGCAGCTGAAGACTTGCCCGAGATCGAGATCGTCGGCAACAAGTTCTTCTATTCGAACAACGGTTCCCAGTTTTTGATCCGTGGTGTCGCTTACCAGCAGAACCCAATGAACACCACCGGTGAGTCCCAAGATAAATACGTTGACCCCCTTGCCGACGGCGACGCCTGTAAGCGTGACGTCAAGTACCTCCGTGACGCTAAGACCAACGTTTTGAGAGTTTACGCCGTGGACCCTACCAAGGACCACGACGAGTGTATGAAGACTTTTGCCGACGCTGGCATCTACATCATTGCCGATCTTTCTTCCCCTGCCGAGTCTGTCAACAGAGACAGCCCTGCCTGGAACATCGACTTGTACAAGAGATACACGTCTGTCGTGGACATGTTCGCCAACTACACCAACGTTTTGGGTTTCTTTGCCGGTAACGAGGTTACCAACAACAGATCCAACACTGATGCCTCTCCTTTCGTCAAGGCCGCCGTCAGAGACATGAAGGCTTACATCAAGGAGCAGGGCTGGAAGTTCCCTGTCGGTTACTCCTCCAACGATGACTCTGAGATCCGTGTGGCCATTGGTGACTACTTTGCCTGTGGTGACGTTGACGCTAGAGCTGACTTTTTCGGTGTTAACATGTACGAATGGTGTGGTGACTCTTCTTTCCTGAAGTCCGGTTACGAGACCCAGACTGAGCAGTACAAGAACATGACCATTCCTGTTTTCATGTCCGAGTATGGTTGTAACGAGGTTCGTCCTAGAAAGTTCACCGAGATTGGCACGATCTTCGGCGACAAGATGACCGACGTCTGGTCCGGTGGTATCGTCTACATGTACTTCGAGGAGGCCAACAAGTACGGTCTTGTCTCCACTGACGGTTCTTCCGTGTCCACCATGACTGACTACTCTTACTACTCCGAGGAGATGAACAGCATCTCTCCTTCTTTGGCCAAGTCTTCTGACGAGAGCAGCGATGCTTCTGCCACTCTTGAATGTCCTCCTAACAACGCTAAGACCTGGAAGGCTTCTCCATCTTTGCCTCCTACCCCAGACCAGGACATTTGTGACTGTGTCCAGGACTCTTTGGAGTGTGTTGTTGCTGACGACGTCAAGGAGAAGGACTACGGTGACTTGTTCGGCGAGGTTTGCGGTAGCGGTATCGACTGTTCTGCCATCAACGTCAACGGTACCAACGGTACCTACGGTGCTGTTTCCTTCTGTTCCAACAAGGAGAAGTTGTCCTATGTTCTCAACAAGTACTACCAGGACAACAAGGACAGCAAGTCTGCCTGTGACTTCAGTGGCTCCGCCTCTCTTGCCAGCACCAAGGACTCTGCCTCTTCTTGTAAGGCTGTTATTTCCTCCGTGTCTGCCAATGCCCAGGTGACTGGTTCTACTTCTGGTGCTAGTGGTGCTGCCCACGTTTCCGGCTCTAGCAGCTCTGGCTCCGGCAGCTCGTCTTCTTCCTCGGGCTCCTCGTCCTCCTCCAGCAAGGGCTCAGGTAGCATTTCCGCTCGCTTCATTTCTAAGGGCGAGCTTCTCGCTGTTGGCGCCTTGGTGATGTGCTTCGTGGGCGGTTTCGGCACTTTCTTTATGTAAACATTAACGGTATCAATAAAATCTACACTGCGTTTGACTTTCCGTTGTAATTCTATCCCTTTCTAACTCCATTATCCTAGTTGGCAATCATAAAGATCTCGTTGAGCGCCTTGGCGTCCATGACGGAGGCACGTTTCTGTCTAATCCACTTGGCTCTAGCCGAAAGCCTGGTAGCGATCTCTTCTTTGGCTTTTTCTCTGGGCTTGAGCATGCTGTCTCGCGTCACCTCCTCCTCATCTGAAGATTTCTCCTTCTTGGACTTCTTGGACTTTTCCTTCTTGTCCTTCGACTTCTTCTCCTTCTTCAGGCTTTTGGACTCGTCATCGCTTTTCTTCTCCTTCTTGGACTTCTCCTTCTTGTCTTTCTTCTCAGACTTGTCTTTCTCGGATTTGTCTTTCTTGGACTTGTCCTTCTTATCCTTCTTGTCCTTCTTCTCAGACACATCATCCTTTTCTAGCTTTTTGGACTTTTTGTCCTTCTTGGACTTCTTTTCACTCTTGTCGTCCAGCTTCTTGGCCTTCTTGCGTGGAGCTTCGCTTTCTTCGGCTTTTCTCTTTTCACCTTTCATGAGTTGTTTACACTCGGCGTCCCAGGTGGATTTCAAAGTATCGCCCTTGACGAAATGCATGCCCCACTTTCCGTTGATGATACTCTCCTTTCTCTGTCTCTCCAACTCGTTGTTGATCTGCTCTTCCTTGCCGTTCAAACGACCCAAGATTCTCTGGAAAACATCAAGTCCAGCACACTCTCCGCTGTCAAACTCGTCGTTCTTCCTCTTCTTGGCAAGCTTAGACCCTAGACCAGCGTTATCAGTTTTGATAGACACTTTGACGTGGGAGGTCATGGCATGGTCAACAAGCCCAAGACCTTTGCCTGGCTTCCAGCCCATTTTTTCAAGATACTTGTGTCCAAACTTCTCGGTATCATTAGACCAGTTTGTGTTTCTTGGATCCAGCCCGAAACGCTGTTTCACCTTGGTACCCGCCAAACCCATAGTGTGATACTGGTCGAGATGCCTGTTGATAGGGTTGAGAAGAGCCCTTACAAAAAAATGGAAATATCCTGCATGTGATATCCTGCTTCCTTTTTGGGACCGATGGCTGCGAAATCTATGCCTCTCCAGTCCCTAGAATGTACTGCCATTTCTCCGTGGGAAGATAACCTTTTGGATCCAATTTCTTGATACAGCCTGTTTCCAAAAGCCATTTTATAAGGAAATTGTAATTCTCCACACTGAGTACGACATTGGTTTTCGCAAAAAGGTACTCATCAGTGACACCAGGCCTAAAAACGATGTAGTTGAGCATCGTAGTTATGAGCTTGATCCACAAAGGCTTGTTCAAGTTGGCATTATAGTCGAACCAGATTGGCTGACAGGGACCCTTGATAGGAATGGAGACTGGTTGGGGCGCTTGTTTGCTGACTTGAGCAGGATCACATCTCAAAACAAGATCACAGGCCAATTGCTCTTTATCGATAAGACGAGATTCATAGCTGTCAAACTTCAATCCACGATCAACCCTGACGAGATCGAGCTGGAAATTTGAGATCAACTGAAGGATTGTGACCATCTCACCGGGCACAACACCTTGAGACAAAATGAGACCTTTGTTAGCTGAAGAAAGTGAAACTAGGGCTTCTTTGAAAGCAGCTGCACGGTTGAAAAGCTTAGGTGTGAGGTTTCTGTTAACAAGAGCATTCTTAAACTTTTCGCCCAAAATGAACTTCGATGTATCGTCGATAGACACAAGTAGCACCTCATGGTCGCTTGTTAATCCGTTTGTAGCCTCCTTGATAGCTTGTTCACCGTATTCTTCCAATAACTTGTTGATGAAGTGGGTGTAGTGCTTCTCATCGCTGGACAGAAATATCGATTTGAAGATGGAACGGAGACTTTCGTGCTTCTTTTCCTTGATAGGCGCTTCTTGTGCCTCTGTGAATATGGTCAGGGAGAGCATGGACTCCTTTTGGCGCATCGAGATATCCTCAATCTTCTCAAAAAGGGCAGATGTTTGAGGCTCTTCCTTGACAAACGTATACTCCTTGCTGTTTCTCTCCAAGTTATTGTAAAGAGGATATTCATCGAACGATGGCATGTCAAAGTTTGTGTCATACTCACGCCAGTAATCAAGGAAGAATTCAAGATTGGTCAGAGAGAGTTCTGCCTCAGTGACCGAACCTTCCTCAATACCCAGCATCACCATTTGCTGGAATGTCACAACACCTTGGGACACGACATCGGCTCCACCAAACAGACGCCTCACCGTACCCCATTTTTGCTTTACGGTTTGCCCATCTTTTCCAGGAAACAACGTAGCAATATGATCGAAATCTATAGCCTCACGAGAAAAGGCCTTAGAGATAACGACAGCTCTGAAAAGCATGAGTGCTTCCGACTTCTCCATCTTGATGTTTCTCCTGCCTCTCTTTCCAGATCCCTGAGAGGAGTCTCCTGAAGCAGGAGCGTTGAATTTTCTAGGTCTCCTTGTACGTTTGAGATTAGAAAGCACGTCGCCATCGTCCTTGACGCCATCTGTGGGTTCCTCCTTGACGAAACTGCCCTCTTCGTCTCCCAAGGCCTGTAGACGGTTTTTGCCCTTTCTTCTTTGAGAGCCAGAGCTGACTTTCTTTGTACTGGGCTTTTCGACATAGAGCTGCAAATCCAGCTGGATAAGTCTTTTTTGAAAGATCTTGTTGTCTTTCCTAGAGTGCAGCTCCGCGTAAGCCTGGCGCAACTCTTCAAGCCGTTCATCTGTTGGCCTCTCTCCTGGTTTCGTTAAAACAAGAAGCTTCTTCTCCACGGGCTGGCCGCCTATATCGATCGAGACTTTCTGAATCTCCAAATCTTTGTTCTTGCAGCAATAGATCACATCACGAGCCAAGGTCTTGACGTCGGTTAGGGTGGAACTGCTCATTCGTTCATCAATCTTTCTGCACAATATCGAGCTGCTGTAGGTGGCACCTCCCTCGCCACGGATAATATCAAGCAAAATTTGTCGTCTTTGGATTGACCGTGCTGAGCCCTCCACCTTGTAGGTTTGAGGTGTTGCACGTTTTCTTTTCGTTTCCTGCTTTTGAGACACAAATTGGGGAAGGCTGGTGGAGGAAAGCGCAGTAGAAGACTCCGCCATCTCAGTCGCTGCCAGAGCAACTTGAGTTGGAGAAGGTTCTGGGGAGGAGGGTTCAGATTTGGCATCTTCTTGGGGAGTGTAATCATCACCCAGATTATTTCCTTCGTCAAGAAGCTGATCATCAACATTATAAGAGACTTTGGCGGTTCTTCTTCGACTTCTAGGTGCGTCGAGGATCTGGATGTCGTCGAGTCCATCATTGCGTGGTTTCTCCACCTTGACTCTCTTGGGTGGTGGTTGGTCAGAAACCTGGAAAACTCTTCTCTTCTTCTCGATAAGAGCCTCGTTGGAGGTCTTCCCGAGCGTGGAATGAAGCTTTTTGTTCAAAGTAACGATATTGTCCTTTGAGAACTTGGGCTTGGATGGCTTCTTAGGCGCAGGCTTTGTTTCTGAGCAAAACTGCTTGACAAAGTACCTGTAGAACTTGAGCTTTCCCTCATTGTCGTAAAGTTTGGACACAGTATAGTCATCATATGGATCAGCATACTTTTTGCACGGTTTGAGGGCCTTGCCGTTGCTCAAATAACTCGGTAGTGTCTCAAAGAGCCTGGTATATGGCCTGTAGTCAGATACACCAAGAAGCGTTTTGGCAATTTCACCCGACGTGATACCCTTGTCACCTCTATCAAAAATCTGCTGGTAGAACTGGTTGAATGGCGGAAACACCTTGTTGAAGTTCGGTGATCGTATCTCGTCCAGCTGGTCCTCTTCGTCAAACTCGTCCTCAGCATCCTCGTCAACATCAATTTCAACGTCATCCACATCAATGGGTAGCGGTTGCACGAACTTCAATGCGTAGAGTCGCTGTTTCGTTTCTGGAAGCTCCACATTAAGCTTCTCAACGTACCCTGCCTGATGGAGCCTGATACACACGGAACGGAAGAACTTCAGGACCAGCTGAGATCCGTCGAGCTTGAGCTCCTTTCGTAGATCGGAAAAACCTCGAAGCTGATTAGGGGCTTTTTGAAGCGCATCCACTATCAACCGCTTAAGCTTAGCCACATCTCTGGTAGCTTCTAGTTCCTCCTCTGCTTCCTCCTTGCTTGCTGGAGGGGCGAATTTGATATGCCAGGAATGCGTAGTGTGCTTCTTATCCACATAAACCTGCTTTGTCACGATCAAACCAGCCTGCTCGAGCTTGATGAGACGAACCCTGATGGACCTGGCATCCTGGCTGGACTCTCTTGCCAAATCGGGATTCAAGATACCTGCGGGACCGTGCCTGGCAATCACCCTAAGCAATTGAAAGGGAAAATCACCAAGGTTGGTTTTCAAGGAGTGGTAGTTTTCTGTTCCAGCCAAGTACCTAAACTGGCACTTCTCTGTAGCCTCCACGAAGATCTCCAGTTCGGTTCCGTGGAGGAGAAGATTTCCGTAAGTTGTGGATGAACTAAGGGCAATTTCGTCTCTTCCAGCGGAACCCACGCGGGCTACAAGAAGCCCCTGGGACGCCCCCATAAGAGCAGTCCATATAACGTTTTTCTGAAGATTATCCACCAGATCGGTGGTCAATTTCGATTTCGCCAATTCCCACAAGCCGGATAGCGGAACGGGATCCAGCACCGCCAAAGCGGCGATCACGTGAGCCACCAATTGCCCCGGCGTGCAAGAGAACGACATGTCGAGTAGTAGGTGGGTTTGTTGATGGTGGATCTGTCCGCGCAGCCGTGTTAGCCGAGGTGCTTATGAGTCCCGCACACCCTCTTCGTGGGCCTACTGAAAAAGACAAAAAAATTGTCGATCGGGAAAAATAGATTTTTAGAAAATAGCCATGGACGACGAACCTCTCCAGCTCTCCGCACATGCGCTCGCAGCTCTCCAGCTGTTTAAGCAAGAGGAGGAGGAACGCAAGAAGCAATTTGAGAAGTTGTACCAGCAAGTAGCCCAGGAAGTGGAAGATACAGAAAATGACGAAAAACTGCCCACGCCTGCAGCCACCATCGACGACTTCAAAGAAGACTGGCAGCTTCTGCAGTTTTGGTACGATGACGACACTGCGGCTACTTTAGCCCGGGCACTTTTGCATGGAGCTGATGAGGAAACAGTGGTGTGCATTGCCCTGGCACCTTCGGTGTATGCTGCGATTGGAAAGTTGCAACCTGAAGAAGTCCCCACCAAACATGTGTATTTGTTGGAGTACGACCAGCGTTTTTCTGTTTTGGCGCCCGGCCGTTTCTACCATTACGACTATACTCACCCGGACGATGTGCCGCTTTTGTTGAAGAAGAAGTGCCATCGGTTGCTCATTGATCCACCGTTTCTAGAAGAGCAGTGCCAGAAGAAACTGGCGCAGGCTGCACGGAACCTTCTTGTGGAGGACGACGGATCTTTGACGAAATCGGGCGACAAGCGGTTCAAGTTGATTTCGTCGACAGGAGAGAGAATGAGAGATATCATCAAGGAAACGTACCCCGAGACCAGAATCACAGATTTCTTGCCGAAGCATAAGAACGAGTTGGGTAACGAGTTCCGCTGCTACGCCAGTTTCGAGGGTCCCTGGAAGTTTCGTGACGACGTATTGTAGCAGGGTAGGATAGGAATATACAGAGAGAGACGTTATTTGTAGGAGGAATCGCTGAAGATGATGGAAAAGGTGTATTTTCATTTTTTGATCAAAAACTTCATGAAATTGTTGGTTTTTTTGCCTTTTTGTGGAGACCCTGGGTATCGTACGGCTCGTGGACCCTGCGGCAGAATGGTTGCAAAAATGCGTCGACGCCTCATGCAAAGCAGCCTAAGCGCCACACCAGGCTCAGGCGGCAGGAAATGAAGAGGTTTGGGTTTTTTCTGGTGAAAATTTTTGACGGATTTTGGTATTTTGGTGACTTTTTGGTTTTTCAGTGGGTTGGGCGTGCTGGTATGG